CCAATATCGTCACCTGTGGTACCATCGTAACTTCCACAAATCGGAAAGTGGCGCATGCATTGCAAGCCATGACCGAAAAATTGAATCCTTGTATCTTTCGTCAGCTCATGCTATCGTGGTAGAATTACAAAGTGAAGTTCAGTGCGAGCGTTAGTAGCTCTCTGATTGTAATCTCGGGGGACCTCACTGGGCTTTCTGCAGGGTATCAATGGTAGTAGGGATGTCATCATTCACGAAGGAGGGAGAGATAATTGTACTCACATCGTATGTTCCACTTTAGAAGCTTTGTCATTGTATGAAGGCATCAATTGGAGGCTCGAGAAGCTCCCAACTCCTCTAGAGGAGATCCCACTTCTAGATACCATCAACCACGAGGTGTATCTGTTCCCTGTTTAGTCGAAGCCACAGCTTAGGTCCTGCAATCAGATCGAATTGTCTTTCTGCTTTGTCAGAATAGTATCTTGTTAGAGCGGTGGTCATGATCAGCCACTGAGGCTTCAAGATTACGCCCGGGGGCAACCCCAGGCTCATTCACCCGCCCATTGTTATGCATCATAGCAAGTGTTCAAATGGTTCCGGACCAGTGCGACGTACCGGGCTTGATTATTGGGAAAACAAAGCCGACACGCTGAGGTACAACCGCTATCGCAGGTGATAGAGCATGTTGCAAAAGAAGCCCAGAAATCGCACACCAGTTGCGTACGCTGACCTTGCGCTGGTGAACAGGCCGGCGAGCAATCTACTAAGTTGGCAGATGTCAGCAGTGTACACGCATATCGTTTTAAGATGACCTTGAATGTGAGGGAGGTTTTGAGCGTCCCAAATCCGGGGTGCCGACTTAGTTGTCTGGGCCAGGCTCTCATCATACCACCGTGAGTTGGATGCTTGCAGAGGGAAGACTTACCGGGCAGCATCGAGAGACACGACCGCGTCGACTAATAAAGGCACTTCGAAGAGCTCAAGAAGGAAGAGAACAGCGGATCCATAACAGGGGCATGTGGGAGTCAACGAAAGCGCAATTGCAGAGGAGTGCGAAGCGGAGAGTATCGCGAGACGCAGAATTTGGGGAATGTTTGGAGAGGGAAGTGTAGAGCGAGGGCAAGTGAGCTGGCGTCAGTAAACCAAAAGGGCAACAGTGCGGAGGCAGAAGTGAATCACTGTGCTGGAACGCGACGAGTGGCCCCGCTTTCAATTTGGCCCAAAACAAGCAACACATCTTCTCAATCTCTGGATCTAAGAACTAAGTGCGCAGGAGTCCATGTAAAAAGCTGTCTCGTGATGTATTCCAGGATCTCACAGTCTAGTTCCGCGAGGTCAGTGTCGATATCAGCATCCCCACATTGATGTGGCAATAAATCGCTTGCTTAGAAGCTGTAGCTATTGCATCCATCATGGTCTTTAGACACGGAACAGCATTGAATCCATTTCACGTCCGTTTCAAGTGCTATCGCCAAAGGGAGATATTCAGAGGCTAGGATGATGTCTAGAGCTTGCTTATAAAGGTGTAAACACTTGGGAGATGATCTTGATTGAGCTGCCGTAATTGAGAACACACGAAGAAGGAATAGTCGTTAGGAGAGCTTTGTGGAAGTCTTCGAGTGTAGGAACTGCTAAGTCACTGGATCACTGACGATAAATGTAATTTCAGTACAAGACTATGTTCTATTGTTTCCAAGACTTACATTGCCATGTCGAGACATTAGATACAATCCCAAAGAATCCATGTACTTCTTCTTGTTGTTGTATAAAGACAGAAATAAGATCAAGCTCACCATGGCAGAAGGGATTGCGGCGATAGACCAAACAAAACATAAAGAATATCAATAGTCGTTCTACACATGTCGCAACGTCAATCAGTGAACACCATTGGGATACGTAGCCTTTGGAGCGTAGGTTACAGTAAGGGGTCACATTGAATACGTATTCTAATGACCTCTGGTACATTCCTTCTCTTGTCGTATACAGAATATCCTCGGGATTCAATCACACACATGCATCTAGCCTCTTCTCAGGCCGAGCGACCATTTATTTTCCTTCACTTCTCCGCTGTTTCCCGGCTATGGCAGCCATTTTCCGACAAACATGGGCATCCAGTCTGCGATCGCCCTCTCAAGCGGGCCGCACCTCCAACTTGGAAGGTACACCATACGCATCACCAAAAAATCATGATCTCAGATAACTATTTCACTCAATAATTGCTCTCGAAGCTGGCCATACAGGAAATAAACAGAAGCCGCGGCCGTTGACGCTTCATTACAGCAATCGCCCCTCGGTCGTCCTTCGCCACCCCAATTTGTGCGCCTGGCCTCGCGTGCCTCCCCCCTCGAATCGCAGCGTATAGGAAGACCTCTACGATTTCGGAGCTCCGGCTTGCTCTCGCTGAGAAGCTGGAGATTGTTTACAGCAGATTACAAGGCATACGCAAATGGGCACCATCGGTGAACTCTCGGGCGCTTTGTCTTTCCCAGCAGCGCAGAGAGAAGCTTTGTTCCGAAGATCTGTTGATTTCTGGTCCCGCTAGAATGTAGGAGCCCTATGTCCAGTATCTCTGGGACTGCTACTACTGCTGACTGTGAGCAATTTCTCAGCCTTATGAGGGGATCAGAGCGCACATATGGATAAATGGCACGTTCCCCGCATTACAAGTTGAGCAGGATGGAAGTTCACGGCCGCCATAATCACACCAGCGATGAGAGCGCGTCGCGTAATCTGCAGACCAGAATAGCTACATTATAATTGAAGCATGAAATGGCATGGGGTTCTTCCGGATCTTGCAGTCGTGGCTAGTTGAACGATGTAGAGATTGTAGCGTAGAAAATCCTCTCGGACTTCCTCGGTGACAACTCATCCTTTCACACATCAATCAAACTTGGGCAATTCGTTCACCTCTGAACATGCGCAAATGACCTACAGAAACACGAAGAATTCAATCGCTTCCAGTAAAGAACCATTATTTGCGTTCTGGACATGAGGTCCCACCTAAACACCGCGATGTGCCTTGTGTACTGCTCACCAAAGGAGAATCTGAATTTTTATGGCACGAGAACATACTTGCGCCTACTCTGGCACTGGGTTTATGACATGGAGTACAATACTACTGAGGACGCCTATCGCCTGACAACCAGTTCCTATGATTCGAGGGTATTTACGCAATCACGCAGTACACAAAGGAGTCGAGTCCAGATATTTCCGACGACCCAAATCTGTGACTGGGCCTCTCTCTGCTGAGATCAATCTGCTTCTCAGTCCATGGTGTCATTTTGGCGCTCAACTCGCGTCCCTGGTTCACTGAGATGCCGACGCTGTCATCTCCTTCACCCCAGCAACAGACAGCGTCTCCGGGCCACATAGCCACCTACAGCCTTCCATAACCGTTCCCCAACCAACGGGCGCCTGCGCACGGTCGCTGCCAGACAGTCACATGATCCGGAGCTATCGGTCTCCGCTCTTGGTGGAGGGGGTATAAAACCCGGTCGCTCCTCTGTCTCCCTTCTTCCCTCCACGCCGGGGTAATGGGCCAAGTCTGATTACAGACACCCCAGGTCAGTGTAACAGCTGACCCCCTTTCCTAATTTTTGAGTTCAGGTTTCCTCTCATTGAGCTTGCTTACAGTTGAGACCATAGTGACGCCAGTATTGCACTACCTCTGGCCGTCGCGACCACCTTTTTTTCATTGGGCTGCTTCAGCGCTGCTGAGCACTTGAGGAAGATGTTGGTGATTGGTTTCATAGTGGTGTCTCGTGTTTTGCCCTTTGTGTTGCCTCTTGTGTTGTCTCTTGTGGTGTTTCCTGTCTTGCCTCTCTGCTACCCATGATCTCGTGCGTGACGCTCGTTTCGAACTTGTATCAAAATTGGTGCAGAACCTTGTGATTGATTGTTTGAAGCAATTGCACGTCGCCACCACCAGGCGCGGGCGATGTTGCTCCTCTCAGAGGCAGCGCACGCGGGAATTGACGAACTCTTTCTTGAAGGATGTGTCTCTACTGGAGGGAAAGATGGTGCAAGGCCTGTAAAGCATGTGCAGTATCTCAAAGTGTCCACCTGGTGAGGTTGTGAAATCGTAGACACGCCCCCGCGCCTTGCGCGCTCGCCCTTCCCACCATCTAGCACTACCGCAACCGGCCCAATTTCACGTAAGCAAAGGTTTTGATTATTTGCTTACGATGAATCCCGCAGCTTGTATCCGTATAGCACTGTGCTGTAGTAGCATTTGTCTCTGTTGCACCCAGGTGCCGCGAGCAGCCCGAGCGTGTCAACGAGTGGATGGATCGGGTCGTCAGCCTCGGCGGCACAACCGACTCAAGAACTTCAAAATATCGCTCTATAACGTTTAGAAGCCGATATAAATCCAGCCATAGCATCTATAATTTCCTGTGCAGCAAGATTGACTGACCTGTGGGCTCTTGCGGTCGCGCTCGCTAGGCTGTTCTGTCCCCACCTCAAACAGCGCCGTCGAACGCTCTACCTCGAAGTAAGTCTCCGTATCTCTAGCCTCCCTCTGGCACTTTGCAACTCAAAAAATCACAGGTGCCACATGCTAGATACTGAGACTCGCAAGTTTCGGCGGGAGACTGCGCCCTCGAGCGTACCGTCAGTAGCGAGAGTCACCAGCCTTCCCCCCACCCCGACTGGGTGTCGATACCGAATTTTAAAGCCACACCCTCACTGAATTCCGGACGAGAGCCATTGTCGTCATACGCCAGCCGCACCGTTCTCGTTACTGCCGCTGTGCAAACCCGGTCCAGATCAGACCTACGACATCTGGATCAAGGCGGGGCTGCCGTCGGCAGCGCACAAGGAGGACACGAGGACACACGCACATCACTGTCACAAAAGGGCTGAATTGGTCTCGACCCAGGGGCGGGATGAAGTCAGGGAGAAGCAGGGTGCCGGGGCTACGATAGGGAGCTGCTGTGGGCTTGGGATCTGGAAGAGCAGGGTCATTTGTCACGGTACGAGGACGAAGGGAGAAGAGCCGTAAGAATACAAGGAAGACCATCATGTTTGATGGTGCAGATCTAATTGCATATACAGGGCCGAATCTAGGATCCGTGACCGTGCTTATGCTGGTGATCGCCATTGTACGTTATTACAGAGATCCGGCAGAGGATGCGCAATCTCCTTTAAACTGCACACCCAGTATGAACGGACTCGTACAGAGCTCACAGACAATAGTCTCCAGTGCTCCTCATGTTGGTGCGGCTCTTCGTGCTAGGTCAATCCGGTGAGTGGCCGACCTGGTGATGCCAAGCGAGCGTGTCGACAAACAAGGCTGGCTCGCGCGATACCCCTCCTTCCCTCGGAAACACGCCTGACTCCCTTGAACAAACACTTACACCACGCAAATTCACACAGGCGCTGCAGCGAGAGGCTTCCCCTTCAGGTACGTGCCTCCCGGTGCCCCAAACTTCGTGCATGTTTCTAAAGCTTGGGCAGACGTTGCTTTAGATCTGCTGGCAAGCCCACAGTCGACGGCTTCAGTCTTTCGACCGCAATCCTCGCTCGTCTCCCAATCTTTGTTAGCATTTCTTCTCGACAGATCTCTTTATCGAGTAGCAGAATGGCTGCCTGTCGCTTCTCCACAAGGCACCGATGGCAGCCAGCGATGGCACACCACCGCGTAGTTCATTGCGTTTGATCGCAGCCCGCAGAAGTATTCTCCGGAGCACAGAAGCAGCTGCCGTGAGCGGTCAAGCCGGTCGCCCATTTGCGCAGCATCTCGGACGTTGCTCCTCTAGTCCGATAGGTTCGCTCAGTACTCTCGCATTCTCCCAGTGCTTCTGGTATAGGTAAGTGTTTCATCCTTGATTTTTGTCCTCCGTGCCATGATGCAGCGACCGGAACGATGAAAATTGCGACCAAGTATGTACCATCTTGGGAATACTGCATTGAACGACCTCATATCTACTCCTGCTCCAAAGCCTTTCTAAGCGCTTCAATATGTGTCACTTCCAGTATGCGATCCTCGAAGAAGAGATGCTGACGTGACACAAGTCTCATAGGAACGATTCGATGGCTGGCCTTGATATCCGCTGCGGACTATTCACGGCCGACCACATGCAAAGCGGCCCTGTATTACCACTCTTTTACCTTCCAGGTAAGCCAAACTCCCACAACTGAAGTAACCGCGTAAGGATGAATCACCTGCGAACAATGCCGTCTTGGGATTACACCAGCCCCACAGAGCCGTCCTGAAGGGCCTCTGAGCGCACTGAGCATCTTCCTGTCTCTCCCGCATATTTCTGCTGAGCCACATACTGACACATCTTAGAGACTTAGCCAGGTGCAACCCGTCGACTCGTAAGCCGGTACCCCTGCAACGCAATATCCGCGCCATGATGAAGCACCTGCAACCAAAGCGGTGTTGGGGATATTGAAGCCTCAAAGAGCCATTCCAGGGCTTATCTTAGTGTCTAGAACACATTCTATTCTCTCGTGTGAAGGACACGTATGCCAGAGACTGACGCGTCACAGAAACCCAGCTTCAGCAGCCAGTTGTTAGCACACGGACATGCTTCGTCTCCATCAGTTCGCACCTGAGGTTCAAGTCCCGTTCAAGGTTCTATCGTTGATATTTTCCTACACGTTGCAATAACGACTCAGTGTCTTGGGGTCCTTGATGGTCCGATTGCCGCGCCACGATCTTGAGGTCAGTCGTCTCTCTTATGTACAGTTTCATTTTTGCCGTGATGAGAGGGCCTATCAAGCTATCAGACAGCCGTTCACTACGATTTTCGTCATGCGTAGTAGTACGGTGGTGTGGGAAAACCGCGCCCTTAAGGCAGCGCCCACCACCCGCCCTATGCGCATTCCATATGCATTGCCCAATTGGCCTCTGGCCGTATCAGACGCACGCTTGTCCTTAGCGTGGTCATTGCATTTATTTCTCTGACGTCGCAGAACATTTTGCGCTGTATGTTTTCGTTTCGGTGTTCCAAGCTGACAGCAAAGGAATAGGTAGCATCGCCCTCATCATCCGGTCGCAGCCTCATGCTCAAGAGGTCAATTTTCCCCTTCTGTCACGTCGTCTTGATATCGTGATGAAACAATTGCTTCACTATTGAGGTAGCCGTCCTACTGTAGTACCCGTCAGCGTGGTAGTACAGTGGTGTGGGAATGACTCGGCCATGAGCTAGCATTCACCACCTGCCGAGTACCATTTTGTGTTTTTAGGCCTTGGAGACTCGGCGAGGCGTCGGGAGCAGTTACCAGGGCTCTTGGGCAGTTAGGTGCCTTCAGTACCCGAATATCGCAGATCTCTAACGTCGTCATCGCAGATCGGTTCTATGCGACCTATCTAAACGAAGCGCGTCCAATATGTGAGGGGAAAGAGAATGTGAGCATCCAGCCAGGACCATCATACGATACCGCTGCCGAACAAAGAAGCGCACCTACAATGCCCGTCTCCACTGCTAGGCAGACTAGCGCTGTGGTTGATGCCCCGGGGCGGAATCAGTGACGATTAGTGTTGCTTGTCGTCAGGACATTCGCAGTCTTCGGAGAGAAAGGGGTAGATGATACCAGTGGGTTTACCTCCAATTTCATTACGTCGATGTGAAAGATGTCTGATGGTCCTACAGGTCTCCCAAGCGGAAATGGATGCAGTAACGACAATGACCAACTGCACCGACCGAGAACGCGATCGATACTTCTTTTGGGCGGAGTATGCATGCGTATAAATACCAGGGAGTTTGGAAAGGAGGGTCACGGTGTCAACCGGCCTTTCCACGGATGTGGACAAGCTGTATAGGGAGCAATGCTGCCCCTCACATGCTGACTCATCTTTCAGGGATAAATGTCTGACTGGCGAAAATTGCTGGATAATAGTTCATGGGCAGATAATCCTACCTTTGAGGTATTGAAGATATTCTGAGCCTGCATGAATGCTTCTATGTGATCTTGAGCTGGATTCCTTCGTCTTGTACGTTGAGGGGGATGGCCCTGGCAGCGTGCATCCGGCAGACACGGGTGCAACAATAGTTAAGTATAACGATTGAGCCAAGTCTAATGGTATCTCATTGACGGACTTAAAATTCTCGTCGCACTCTCTTATTGCTTGCTTCGATGATACGACCTTGTGACGAGCGAGGCGGGTAGGCATGGTACCGCAGAACTCGTGCTTTGTCGGTCGTTGCTTCAACTCGTTGACGAGTCTAATCTATAGGATGTCCCTTTGAAATCTGTCCAAGCACGCTCTGCTTGGAGCTCGGACAAATGTGCCCAGAGAATAGATTAGCGCCGAGCCTTTTTCAGCGAGTGCTCTGATCTTGCTGCTTACTGCTGTTTGACCTCGTTCATGCGAATTCGAAGCAACATGAGAAGATGGTCTCAGTAAAGAAGCTGTGGGACCCATCGACCGGAGAACCAGCGTCTGGAAGCCTGTGATCAGGGCTATCTTTGAGGCGAGGGTGGCAGTTCCCGATAACATCTGCTTTCCAAAGTTTTCAGGCTCCAGTATTTTTTTGTCATCGGATGCCATACAGGCTGCTGCCGTCTTCACTTCATTGATTGCAGCCCCTCACGCACGCCCACAGTGGGCAAATCCGTTTGCGTTGCTAGGCGACGTTATCGCTAAGTCTCTCTTTCACTCAACGTTCACAACCCGATATCCTCTGTTTTTGACGTCTTTATAGATTTTAAAAATTGAGGTCCTTTCATCATAGGGCAGAATGAATCTGGGCGCGCCTCCCACCTGTCCTGGCCTCCTGCCGAATTTAGCACCTGGCGGATCCGCACCGGTGCAAACTCAGTCCCTTGGGAAGCCTTGGGTATGCTGACGTGCACAGGTTCGAGACGTAGGCTGTCCGGGGCCGAACTCGTTTTTGCCGTTAAGTTTTGCTTTTTTGCTCTTTTTTTGCAGTACCGGCGCGCTCGTGAACGTAACAGAATATTAGCAGGTGGGTCCGTTTTGGGCTTAGTCGCTCGATGTGCTGCCTTCACCACCCATACAGCATTGTCTTGAACTTGACCTTGGACGTGAACCCGTCCGCGACACCAACTCTTACACCTCCCTGTCTGCGATCAGTACGCGCTGTTGCTACGCTTCTTCACCCCTCCTCTTGCTTGCTAACTTCCTGAGGCTTTGGACGCAGCCGAACTTCGCACCCCGCAACACTTGCGCTCAATTCCGGCGACACCAGGTATTTCCACTTTGCATTGGACTTTTCGAGACTATGTTACGCGCGCAGATGCTGATTCTGATTGAGAATTGCCTCCATGAGCTCACAAAGCAGCTCCGCCGAGCTTGACGCCGCTAAAGAGCTTCTTTCGCTGTTGTCGAGCGCCGAAAACAGTCTGAACGGCACTGGCAATCATCTCCCTGCCCTCGCTACCGCTACCGCTACCGCTTCCGCTCCCGCTCCTCGAGCGGCAAGGGTACGACGTTGGCCTGTCGCCAGACCTCCGCGCGGAACGAAAGGCCTCAAAGCGTCACTTGTCAGGGCCGATGTCCAACGGTACCAACAACGATTGGCCGACGAGTGGACAGCGCAACCCCTGGACGAAGGAACGCCGAAAGATTTCTGGAAGATCTTGAAACTCTTGGGTTTTCTGGTGCCCGACTACGCGGTGGCAATCAGGGGGTGTGACCGCTCAGTCCTAGCTGAGTTCTTCGTCAAGGTCGACTGCCTTGGAGCTATATATGGCTGGGAGGAGACGCGCGCGCCGAACGCGAAGATCTGGGACGATCATATTAGAACTATCTATTCGATCCACGACGTTCAGTACCTTACACTCCTGGGAATGATCGGTGACTACCTCGAGAGGGAGAAGTGGCAGCTCGAGCCTTGAAATCGACGTGGAGGCCGCGGTTGAGCGTCGCGACGTCCGGGAGATGCGTTTGACTCGGAGATCCATCAATAAGGGTCCTCGTGACGTCTTGTATATGCTCAGGTGCATGTGGTGCTGGCTCCGAGCGCATATTCCTTAAGTTCTAGTGAGCTAAGTCCGTTGTGCGGGAACGGGAATCAGGCATAATGGGTTGGGTAGGCGTTGGCGAGAGGCAAAATCTGGGTGACAATATCAGCATTAGAGTTTCCAGCACTGAGAGCGTAACCGCTGACGGGAAGGGAATGGGAAGACAGGCAGATACTTAGCTAGAGGTCTTCCTCCATGGATACCGTTCAACTACATTTCGTCTCTCCGCTCTCAATGTCTCTCCTTGCATAACACCATTTTCACACACTTCCCACTGTCCCACTCTACCCACAGGTACATCTCACATCCCCGCAGGCACATCTCAAGAGATGAAACATGGACGCAACGCCTACCGAACCAACGCATCGGCCTGGAACTAAACCCCACCAGCTTTTGCTTTTAGAGTTTCGCTTGCTCTATAAGTCTCTGCTGTCAGAGTATCGCTTGCTCTGCAAAGTGGCCAACGCATGGCATCAAAGGCCATTGTGCAATGTGGCGTTCACGAGACGGATCGTTCGTCTTTCAGCTGAGGGTGCACGATACCTGCCCATTATGGTGCTAGTCAATATGAACCTCAAGTTTCGCTTCGCTCTCTACTCCCATCCATCAACATCTGACTGTGGGCTAGGCTACTTGCGCCGGCATTATACCTTCTTACGATGCTTTTGCTTTCGCTTACCAGAATCTTCTGCTTCTAGACTCTCTATTCGGCGCCAACCCGGACGATGCTGCTCACATCGGCATTATACTTTCTTACGATGCCTTTGTGTGCGCTCATCAGGGCTGTTGCTTCAAGACGGGGAAGGCTACTTTGAACCAACTTCTGGTATCATATGACGTGACACTAGGATAGGGATAGATGTATTTGTTGATAGGTTGGAAGGGCAATCCGTGTCGAAAGCTGTAGGTGCGAGACTGACGCTTCGAGCTTCAAGAGTCTATGTCGATGAACACATATCTCCTTTGAGGAACGCTGGATTGAAATTGCTGACTTGAAATAATGGAAGGGCGAAGTAGGACGGCAAACCACAGATGTTGACTTGAAAAGATTCGAATTGACTTGGAATGTGAAGGTGCTCGGAGTCGGGGGTTGAGAAAAGATTCCACCTACTTGTCGAATTGCGACATTCTTTATACACATTGGGTTGTCGTAAATTGCTTCGTCCAATAACGTGCTGGTGGCATTCAGAACTTGATGTTGATTATCTCCAAGGAACAATTTAGGACAAGCCCAATATGAATGGGCGAGGCGGGAGTTGGAATCGAACCAACAGCTCAACATGCTTTCGCACAGAGGCCACCACGACAGGTCTCCTACAACTTGACGATCTTGCCCGGTTCTTTAAGAGAGACAGAGTCCGGAATGCTAGAGACACGTTTGAAAACGACAACATTGCGACACGCATTGTTTGTCATACTAGGATCGTTAGAATAGAGTCGTTCGACGAAGTCACTGAAGTCCAATGGTGATTAGCAACATCGTCAACAAAATTACCTTCTCCCTCCTGTTGTAAATGGACCGTATCTTCACATGCGCCACGCATGCGCCACGCATGCACCTAAAGCTGGGGGCGAGCCTTACTCTGTAGTCCCAGGTCGCCTGACGAGACAGTTCGGAACACAGCGTTGAGGCTTCAACGTTATGGAGATGACCGTGAAGGTAGCAAGATCTAATTGATGGCTCTTGCAATGAATCATTGAGTCAGATCATCCAGCTTTCGGCTGGTGTTCCAGTCATCCATAGGATATCATCTGGTCAATGCAAGAAGCCACAAGTAGGGCATCCGATGGAATCATCACTTTGATAGCCAGAAAGAGGCTGATAAAGGTTCGGCACGTTCTGGCCGCGAGAGAGCTGGAATGTAGGAGCAACCGTGTCCAACCAAAAGCGCATAGGATTAGTAAAGGAGCGACTGCACTGAGGTTCACCAGCTTGGGAACCTTTGGTAATGTTCAGCAAATACCATTCGAGTTCAATCGGATACCGATGATCTAATGGTGCACCGGGAAAATTCAGCAGCGGCATGACAGGTAGGAGGGTACCTCCTTTTAAGCACCGTCCCAGGTGATCTGTGTTCGCTTCTAGCGACTTCTGACTAGTGGATCAATTTTACTTCAAGTTTTGTGGCATTGTCGGTATTTATCTGAAAAGATATGCCGATTTATCGAAGGTGACTAGCCAGCACCTTTGTTGGCACAGCTGATGCAGGACAGGTCTCTTGGTAAGCTTGTCTTTCCGATTCAACAACGACCACGTACTGCCGTACAACATGACAAACAGTCATTTCACGGTGTTCACGATGGCGGTATCTCCATGTAGACATGCCAATATGCGCAAGACTCGAGCAAATGAACTCCCACCCGTCCTACTTGAGGGACTGGGACGTCTGTTCATGTCCTCGCCGATCCTTGCATCGCCTCTTCGCTCTGCTGATGCCGGAGACGTATGCATAAGCAGATCAGGGGACATTCATCTCCGGGCTGTAATGTGTTCTGCGGGAACAGTGCACACACATCTCCGAACTGAGGGCGGTGCATCGTGATTTCCGGTTTGCACATGTCTCACAGACTCAGAACGGCCCATTAGAGGCGAGAGCCCGCACAACAAGCCCGCTGTTGGTAGGATAATGCCCAGCTGTGCCAGCTCGATAACTCGAATAACGCCAGATGCGATGCAGCCAGTAGTACTTATTTGCCGAACGCGTATTTGCTACGCCGCTCGCAGGAAAACACCAAGCAAATGTGCAGGTGCATGGCCACCACAGGCAATTTCGGACTCTCATCACAGCACTTGATCGAATCATTGGCGTCGCTATCCTGGCATTGGTGTGCTCGGCGGCTCTCGTTTTATAGGCTGCTCTCGAGCGCAGGTGAAGCTACGAGCCAGTCTGTTGCATGTCTGGTGTCTCCGACTCTGGTTCTGCCGTGCTTGGTCTTTGCTGCAAGGCTACAGCATGGAGGCAAACATCCCATGAGACCCATCGCGGCGGAAACTGGGATGCCGGTGAACTTATATTTGCATAGGCGCTTGCACATTGGCCCTGGGCACCCTTTCTACAGCTTTGCAGCTTGAATGCTGGGTTGGGAAGAGCTGTGAGATTGCTGCACTCTGTGGCATGAAGCACGGGCCTCATTGTGGTGATTGACGTGCTCCCTCGCCGTCTTCCGAAAGACAACCACAACGACACCACCTTCCTCGAGTTGCAAAGTCAGACTCGACCATACAGAGGAACCCACGGCCTTTTTACGAGCATGCCTTTTCCTTCGCAACGTCAATGTGCATGTCGACTGCGGCGGCAAGCATGGTGGGCTTTTGGGTATGCCGCTGGGGTTTGCCCCTCCATCCCTTCTCCTCCGACAACGACGCGGCTGCAATTGATGCGAACAAGAAGTATCCTATTGCTCAAGGTACACGACTCAATGCCTTGCAACTCTCGAAGGCGTCGTGCCACGTCGGGAGTGGGGCGCTACGTCGACACCAATCGCGTCCTCCACACTCACGCCATGGCGTAGCTGCTCAATGGCGTAGCCACTGAAAGAGCTTCCTGACTCGAGTAAGCTTTTTGCCTCCTTCATGATCCCAGAAGACAATCTGCTGACATGACACGACCTCGAGTCCGACACCGCGCGGCAGGAGAGCCGTTGTGGAGCGGCATCAGATAAGTTCCTCCCCAAACACCAAGATCTAGGTCCGTTGGCGACTCGCGTTTGGGGCTTTCAGCAGATTTGCGACTGCCACCACACAAGCATGAGGGTCGACCTCAAGTCTTGGGACACATGCCGCGGCAACGACTGGTGGGTCCTTGCCATTCAGAAGTACGCCTAATATTTCTCACGCAGCGTCGAATAGATTTTTCTTGTAACCGCGGCGGTGCCGACTTGCGTCACAGGTCAACATACATCTCCAATCCCACGATCTGGCGACATCGATATTGGGCGAGCAACGGCCCTGTCTCATCCGGCAAAAGGGTTCGGCGCTTGAACTCCGCCAGGACATCTTTAGCGACCCCGGTGCAGAACTAGCTCATTCGGTAGACACGATGCTCGGGCATCAGCGGAACAATCAGCGACCGTATACTCAGGGCGAACAATCGCACAAGCGGGGTTCCAAGAAGATGATACAGACTCGGAGAACTAGAAGAGCTGCATGTGTTGCATGCAGTCCAGGGTATCCATGGCCTCGCTCACGCTGCCGGTGTAGATAGCCTATGGGATTACCCAGCAAGTAGTCAGTATGGTGGCACTTCTTGCGATTTTTGCTGATTGATCAAGGACGGCATTTGGGACCCCGTGGAGCTATAGTATCGCGATTTACCGCTGCTTGCCAAAGTATGCGAAGACTTCACAGTCCATACAGGGTCATAGCCACCGCTGAAGAGTACGCCGTATTCTTTTGTCCATTTGCGTCAGCCTCTTCTTAGGCTGACCCTGGAATACCTGTCTGCCAGAGGTGGACTATCAGGTGCCCGTCACGAAAGACTATTCGACCGGTTTCTGGACCTGCCATTGGAATCGATCTTGGCACTACCGACTCTTGTGTTGATATCATGAAAACGGCAAGGTAGAGATAATAGGCACTGACTAGAGCAATCGAAGCCATCACCCCGAAAACATATGGTGCCAGAGGCGTGGAAAAGCCGAGTCCACGTCGTGGAGGAAGCCGTCGATAACATGACCCAAGGGATACTTTGATGGATGCTCAACGTTTGGCACGTGCCGAGAGCAAGGTGAGGAGATCCAATTATTTTCGAAGATAACGCTCATAGATCCTAACGCGTATAGATCCTAGGGCAGCAGCCACGGCTCGATGTCGGTGAGAGGAAGCCAGGTCCAGGAACGGCATCTTCATGGGGCCGACCTAGCTCCCCTCAGTCATTGCTCCTCTCGCTTCCTGTTGTCCGTCGATTAGCTCTCCACCATCGTTCAACCGAAGCCAACCCTGCATTCGTCGGTTTATGCCATGGCTTCAGATCAGATTCGCTGGGCATCTTTAAACGGCACCAAGGACTCGATGCGTTCAGCTAAATCAGCGTTCTGACCAACATGTTTTCTTCCAGACCAATAGCAGCCATGTTGTTGGTAGTCACCAGTAGCATGAACCAGCAACCAAAAAGTATAATGCGACACCCCTGATGACGCTTGGGGGATGGTGCGCGAAATAGCCGCCAAATGCTCCATTTGCGACAGGTGCAACACAACCAACGAGATGCGTCGCTGCAAAATATAAGATGGCAGATCTATCGACCATGCCATCTCCGACAAGAAGATTCATGCATCCCGAGAACAGCCTTTACCCCACATAGACTTTGTACGAGATTTTGTCCGCGAGATCAAGCAGCTCAATTACCTGAGAGGCAACAAGACATAGGATGAGGCTGAGGCTGCTGTCAACACTAGCGGTGGAGGGCTGAAGATCGGATATAGCCTTCTCCGGATAGCTCGCTGCGGGCAAGATTGTTAGCTCTTGTCTTGTCGGCTTCATAACCTTCGTAATCCGCACACCACCAACCTGGATACCTAAGCGGAGACCGGAAGGAACGCGAATTGGCTCGAGAGAATCAATCTGAAATCACTGGACCTGGGCCACGAAACACCCGCCTGGGCATCCGTTTACGTGGCCCCTAGCCTTGGCCTTGGAACCTACAACCGACTCACAAGCGTCGGTGGTGCGACCATTGGATGACTAGCGCCCACTTCGCCGTATGAGGTCGAGAACAGTCCATCTTCCAGCAGCTCTAGAAAAGGCGAGCTCGATTCCGCTATAATTTTGCCGCACGAGGCGCCATACAACAGTGATACTAAGGTGGCGTCGTACAGACCTCAGGGACACTGATGCAGCAAGCCAGCGCTCGAAGACCCGACACATCATAGGAGCGAGGATGTATGCGTTTCGTGCGCAGGACGAGCGAAGATATACAATTACCAGAGGAAATACCGATCGTCGAGAAGGAAGAGCAGGTTGCCAGGATGCGGACACGATGATCGGCAGGCGCCAGTGAGGCCTCATCTTTGCCTCTCCGGATCGCGAATGGCTTTGGTCCAGCTGTTCTCTGATCTTTGCGATTCCTAACAGAGCTTTGGCCCCGGTGTCCTTGGGCATCAAATGGCTTTGACCTCTTGATTCTTACGAGTCCCAAAGAGCTTTGGTCTAACAACAGCCATGGAGACATTCTTCAGGACGAGCGCGTGATGTAGCTGTTCTGTCCCTGCAACCCGCTGCTGACAGGACGACAGGGAATGACTCGCCGACGGCCGATATAATGGGTAGCGTTCCTTCGTCGAAATAACCAAGTTGCCCCAGGAAATGCTGATTATCGAGGAAAGCTCTGTCCTTTCTCTTCAGAATGACACTGCACAGCCATCCACATCCACCATGTCCACTTCACCTCCATCACACAACCCTGCCTCCTCTTCACCAGCTCGCTCATCAGAGCCCATCCGTTCCAATCGTCTCCTGGAAATTCCGACTGCTTGCGCGTATCTCGTGCGCCACGCACCTTCAGGCCGAGACTGCCCCAGGAAACTTCCATGTTCGAATACGAAAGCTCCGTCTAATCTTATCAAAATGACTATGGAATACCCAAATCTCGAGCATTCGTGAGATTGACGATCACAAGCGGCAAGAAATATATAATGACAGCATGGCGCAGTCGATATGGTACACCCGCGTGCTGGGCTTGCACAGTAGGTGCATAAACCATTTCATTCCGTGTCCTGCGAGATGGTGCGCAACGGTCCCGAGAGTGCTTTTGCTCTGATCGCGGAATTGGAGTTCACTAACGACGAACCGATCTCCGATGGGCGGATTCCTGGCAATGCAACACCCAGAGGTTGCGAAAAGAAACTGTGACCGACTGAGCCTTGGTCAAATTGGTCATCGCTTGTCTATATAGTGAGTCCACTGGGCTGTTAGTAGGTTGACTGATGTGCTGATAGCGAGAGTGTGTGCACACAGTCAAAGCTGCATGAAGAAATCGAGCAGTGTCGAGCAGGTCAGGCCATGACAGAAAAGAACGTCGTAGCACCGTGGAAAGCACTCAGCGACGCGACTACAAGATAACGCATCGCTTCGATGCGCCTCAAGCGGTCGAAGCCATCCGTTGTAATGTATACACTTCCGCCCGCAGGTACGCCTGAAGATGCGCCCGAGGTCATACGCAGCAAGCGGGGGTGATCATTTACGGAATTAACCAGTCGCATATGAATCAAGAAGCCTCCAAACCGTCCTATCCACGAAGCTGAAATATCGCGACCGGAGGCTCCGTTCCAAGAAGTTGGACCAAGGACCCCTCAGTGAAAGGGAAGTCTGCCAAACAATTGTGTTGACGCGGAATAAGCTGAAGGGCGTTTTTAATGATGTCCGGCCTTCACCTCGCACTTCAGCAAGGCCACATTCCGGCGGTTCTCAGACATATACAAGCACGGCAACGGCCAGCTGTCAGGGCGCGGCCAACGCTCTCGCCCACAAATACACATTCGAGAACACTGCAAGAGCGTGATTCACCAACACTGGCGCATACAACCACAAGCAGGGCTGGTCGAGCCATCACTTCGAGTGCGCGGATTGGGTGGCGTCTTTGGCCGTGCCCATGGCCGCAACGATCGCGGGATCAGCGGTGCTTCGACATTGGCGACATTGATACGGCATGCATAAACTTCAAGCAGGTCGACCGCAACAAATTGATGATGAACCTCGCCCGCAATGGGGTCGATATCCTAACCAAAAAGGACGACCATTCGCTGGCGGGACTTCTCTGGTAAGCGTTGGAAGAACACTTTTCGAGGACAAGAGAGTGGACGAGAATGCCCCGCATCGCATCAAGCACACTGGCTAACGCAAGCCTCAACTTGGTGCAATCAACTCTGATGTCGTCAAGGACGTAGTTACTCACGGTTGGGATATCGAGACCAGCTCCTTGATCTGATACAAGTATTTCGGAAGCTCGAACGTAGATATGCCACATATCTCATGACAGTGGTGATGTTTGAAGCTTCTAGACGTAACGATCGGATTTTCCTTGCACACCGTGTTTCCCTCTTTTGAGGTCTTCCGTTGCTTGGCAGCCCGTATGCAGCTGCTGGAGGTATACTTGGTACCAACCTTGTCATGTTTCTAGATCCTGGATACGCGCAACACTTCCACCAGACGTGCTCTCGCATCCTTGCCGTCGAGGCCGCTAAGGACAGCGTGCAGCTTGAGACGCCATTTGTCAAAGTCTACGCCTTGAGGTCTTCGCAAACTTGCACCAGGACTGGGTCAATAATCTAACCGAGCGCTACCAAGGCAAGCAAGGTGGCAACGTTCTTCGTCGCGAGCCGCCCAGCAGAGTCAAAACCAGTGTCATCCTAATGGGTATAGTCCAACGTCTTCTCGACGAAGCTGAAGCGAACGTTGCGGCAGAAAGTCAAGAGCCTGATACTGTGCTCTTATTACGAGTCCATGGGAAGGTCCGCGCGCCCTAAGACAGTGAGATCGGACCTATAAACAACGGTCCGCTCCGCAACGGCAGCTGATACAGCGGGGAGTAGTACTCTGAGCTTGACGATTTGAGGGGAGCGTATTGCCTCAAGAAAAGCGACCCCTTAATATCTGGGCGGTAATTCTTATCGCGCGGAGGTTTGGAGTTTCTGTTGCAGATTTGTTGCTGACGATATTGTGTAGAGTCAGTGGACAAGATCATCTATATCCATGCGCTTTCCGGAGATGCCGTGATGCGATGCTCACACAGGTAGTGGCGCTGGTGTGAAGAACGGAGCCAAGGTAGAGTCTAGCAGGTAAGTGGATCACCAGTCGCAGAGAGAAGCGTCGCTGAGTTCGAGTACCACCAGTTTCCGGGTGGACGCGAGCTTCCTTGACTCAACAACGACCATCGCCGCAAGAAGTTCTCGTGCTAGACGGCTTAGGGCCGCGCCCCTTGCAGTTTTGTCCTTCCTTGACATACTTGTCTTCTGGTCTTCTGGTATTCCGGCATCTTGATCTCTTTGGTCCTGGTATCCGGTATCCTTGCTTCTCAGGCCTTCTGACCCTCCGGTGTTCTGGTGCTCCGGTCCTAGTATTAGTCCCTTGATCCTCTGGTGTACATCGGAGGTGGCGATCGCGTGGCGCCGCAATTGCGGGTGTCCTTACTTCCCCTTAAGCGATGCGATTCGCGACTTGCTTGAGTGCCACGCTCCTGATAGCATCAAGGGGGATCGACACAAGCCAGTCAAGCGGTAGGCTGTCTTACCGATCACATGACATTACAGGCTTAAGTACTGTAGAATGTTCGCTTGGTCATCCCTAACGGGAGTTGAAGAGTGCTGCACGTCTCGAGATACATTCGGCGGTTTTGATCGCTCGAGACCCGTTGCTGTCCCGGCGCATGGGCGTGCTGTTGCCGTCATTCGCCAAGGTAGCATTTGCGATCGTCCGAAGTATCTGTTCGCGTCGTTGGTAAACTTCTGCGGTCAATGCTAGGCGTTTGATGTGGTGTGCCTGTTGAGATTGCGGCTGACGGAGGGAGCTTGGGGGCGGGAGGGTGCCTCTGGTGGGGCGCTTACTTTTGCTGTCTCCGACAAGAAGAATTGACGTCAACAGCTGGCGGCTGTATGGACACGCTGGACGCAGGCATGAAGAAGCTCCTCGACCCAGAGCATGCCACTGTGAAGCGGCGTTCTCAAGTACGCGTGATCGTCGTGGTGATCGCAACGACGCTGGAGCTCTCGCTATCGTGGTGAGAGGCGGCAATACATCCGAAGGCCGATGCAGGAGCAAGCTGCCTTCAGGCAAGAAGAAGCTCATCAATCTGGAGCATGCTGTGGTAATGCGCGGCTCTGCGGGCAGGTCTCATCGTTGTTTTGCTGTGATTGCGACAATCATGCCGCTCCCGACCTCGTGGCGAAAGGCGCACCCAGCCGACCATCGGGGAACCGCGTTTCATGTAGGAAGTATCTCCTCAATCGTGATAATGCTCTCCGGAAGCGCGGCATTGTTAGCAAAGCCTCCTCGTTGTCGCGATGGCCTGAAAGCCCCTTGTCACGACGGTACGGTGGTGAGAGGTCGCCGCCGCAGAAGCTGCCTGCCTGCGCGTCGAAACACAACAGCACGGCCAATGCCTCAATGCATACGATGAGGAGAACTTACAGAGCTTCGAGAACGCGCACATAGCGTTTTTGCCGCAAGCGCGATCCTGGTGGGGTTGTAGTTGGGGCCGAAGGAGCGGGGAGGAGCGAAGGCCAACGCCCAAGCCGCCGCTACGCCCCCACCTCAAGTGTAAGGACCTCGCAAGCAAAGGGCCGCATGCCTGAAGCTGCTGGCATCGACAGAAGGAGCGTCGCTATCCTGGTAAAGCCTACAGCGAGATCGACAGGGTTGCGAGGGTCGCTGCGGAGGGGTGGAGAGGCTGGTGTCACTGCGGGGCGCCTGGCCAGGGAAGAAGAAGACACGGGGAGCTGCACGATATCGTCAAGAACACGCAGCAAGCCAAGTTCCATAACCATTGAGGGAGAGGCGGGTGCGTGACAGCGTGAAGGACCTGGTATGAATTTATCTAGCCTCGAGGATGGTCCGTGCCAGCCTTTCCAAACAACTCGAGGCTGTAGATCCACCCTGCGCTACCCCACGATTTCCCGGTGCTCTGCATAGCGAGGTCAACCACAAAGACGTGTTCCACTCGTGCTGTCCCTGTCTGCCGCCGCATAGTCCAGGCGACATGCAGAATGGCAGGCGCGACGTACGACATTGTCGTGCTTTCGTCCTCCCCTCCTGATAGCCTCCATGTCGGCCCGCGAGCGCTGAGCCCTGCATCTCCCCTCGAACGTCGCGTCGCCATGCCCGCAAGCCCGCTCAGATCGCTCTCTCCGCCTCCTATCCCCAAAAGGGCAGTCGCGGGCGCGTCCCTATCGGGATCACGAGCTGCGCCGGTGCCTATGGGCGTTGAACGAGGGTTCGCCACCGCGAGGAGTCTGCTGGCCGACATCAGCATCAACGACCGGGGTCTCAGCGCAATTGAGGAGGCGCTCGAGAGCAGGCGGGTACCCACAGGGCCTGAAAATACCATAAAAGCGTCTAAACCCGCAAGGAAGAGAGCTACTAAGGCGACAGCTGTCGACGAGGATGCGGCGAAGCCGAAGGCGAAACCAAAACCACGCGGACGGAAGCCCAAGACGACAAGCGCCGAGAAAGTGACGAGCAATGCATCGAACGCCGAGGCCACCGCTACCACGTCCTCTTATTTCGCGAAACTGCCTGGGGCCGATGTTGCTGCGTCTACCCGCGAGCCCGCTGCAGCACCGCCGGAGCCGAAGCCTCGGAAGCCGCGCACGAAGAAAGCTACGACCGACAACGGCGAGATACAAACCACTATCAAAAAGGTCAGAGTCACGAAACCGAGGGGCGCGACAAAGATCACCAAGAAAGTGCAGGAGAAGGCGGCGGAGGTGGCATCGGCACATTTCCGCTCACGTGGTGCGGAACACCATACGGCAGGATTGAACCAGCCGGACACAACAGTCGCTGGGGGTCAGAGCGCTCGAGTTGGCGATGATACAATATGGGACGTGCCATTGAGCCCTTCCGCGCGGAGTAATGGCCCGCCTAAACAACGGCCACCCGACCCCGACGACCCATTAGACTTGGATGAGGCAGTGAGCAGACGACGAGACTGGACGCCTCCTCCAGATACTAAGCGACAAGAGATTCTCACCAGCTCAACTGGGAAAGAGAACAAGCCCGTCGCGGAGAAGGAGAGTTTTACGAGCCTGCTGTCAGGTTATTCATACGCGCGCATGGAGACTCAGTCACAGAAATCGGCCTCTGAGACAGCTTGCACCGAGGTGACCGGTGCCATGAAACGGCGAAGGCTGGAGGTGAGTTACACATGCATCTCTAGCAGCCTTCGAGATTCGCTAATGGTTGGAATAGCTGCTCGATCTACCTAACCACCAGGTTGCATCTCGTCAAGCATCGCCGGAAAAAGGCAAGGCGCCAAAGAAGAAGCCTCGAACCATCACAGATCTGGTCACGGGCCAATATGCGCCTCAGCAACCGCTACCAGATTCACCTGAAGTCTCAAGTGACTTCTTCGCACGCCGCACTACTCCTGTACCCAAGACGACCAAGGTGTCATTGAACGATATGGCTGACGAAGACTCAACTAAAGTTTCGAAGAAGCCCGTGCGCAAACGTTCAACGTCTAAGCCAGCGTCAAAGCCCGGCGAGGCGAAAGGCAAGCCAAAGAAAACTTCCGCCAAGGCTGCCGCCAAACCAAAATTGGTCGCAGAGACGCTGCTCAGTCCAGCGTCTGCATTATCCAGGTTGAACAGACAAGATGTCTTATTCGGGACATCGAGCCAGCTAGCGCGTGAGGAATCTCCCACCATGGTACGGGACTTACAGAATGCGATTCGCGAGTCCGAGCAAGATGCAGAACTTCGCCACAGTCTAGCATCAAATGATGCCCCAGCATTTGCCGCATGGCCGCGCCTACAGCGTATTGAGGGTAGACGTGCACTTTGGAAAGCAAGCTCACGAGACGACGAGGGTCACACACTAGAAAGGCAGAGCGTCTGCCTACCCGAACCGGACAGAACGCAGGACTTTCCGCTCGTCATCGACAAGATGCCTGAGCAGTCCGACGATTCATTCCTGGATATCAATGACTTTGCGCCGCCTCCCCAAGCACCGATTTCAATATCATCGGATCTGTCAACTCCACCTTCCACAGTGGTGGATGACAATGCTGTCACTGCTGAAGCTCGTGCTGCGATTCGCTCTCCGTGTCTGGACATGGACAATTTCCTGTCATGCCCACCTCCAGTCGCGGGTAGCAAAGAAGTTGCTGTTGAAGGTCATTTTCTCAAGAGTTCTCCATTCAGAGACATCAACGACTTCCCACGGGACCTTCCGCCTTCGAACCAACCAGTCGACTCTAGCTTTCTTGACATCAACGACTTCATCCTATCTACGCGGACGCCTGCAGCTAACACGTTACCCACATTAGCGTCTACAGGCTCGCCAAAGAAGCCCAGAGATCGACCTCCAAAATCTCAATCCGCTATTCGTTCAAGAGTACCGGCATCTGCACCCGTCCGCGTACCCAAAAAACCAATCGCGCATGCACAATCCTCTACAGCCACATCACCAAGTACGCCTCGCAAGAGCCAGAACCGCTTTCACAGCATCGAGGCTATCCTCGACTCAGAGGATGATGAGGCCCTGTCGCCTACACCTCCTCGGGCTCGACCACTTGCACATTCCCCGCCGTTGCCACTAGTCTTTGACACTACTCCCAACCCAGCAAAAGACACTGCAGACGGACTCGTCCCAATCTACCGAATCCCCGAGACCAAGCTAACTTTCGACGGTATCCGCCCTACACTCTTTCCCGCTCTCACATCCCTCATCCGCTCTCTCCCTCCCTCGACTGATGCCTCGAAGCCTTCTTGGCATGAGAAGATCCTCATGTACGACGCCATTGTTGCCGAGGATTTCACAGCGTTTCTCAACACGCACGACCATATTCACACGTACAAGCGCGCGACGCAGAAACAGATCAAGGCGTGGAACAAGGAGCTGAGGGCACGGAGAGAAGAGGAGATGAAGGTGGTCGAGGGCGAAGGCATGGTGTTGGCGGTAGAGAAGGAGATCGAGGCGTATATGGTGCAGAAGTGGTGTGAGGAGATGAGCGTGTGCTGTGTGTTCAAGGAGAGGAAGAATGGTGGGGCGAGGAAGGGGCTGTACTAGTAGCTATGGAGGGGATGGGACGGTGCACGGAGGTGGCTCAACTTTGGCTGCATGGGAAGGCGTTTTTGCAAAGTTAGATACCATGAATGCGATTATGTGATGACTAGATGCGGTTCCGGGTGATTTGGTGGAGCTTCTTCGGCGGCTGGGCTTGTGCTGGAGAAGGTGCGGGGTACGTAATCGCGACTGCGACGCGCGGGCACGTGCATTCTCTTGGCGGCTGCGGACGGGGCTCAACTCTGGGACTTGGTACGATGTTCGGCACTTCAGGTGCGTATGCTAGTATTTTCGCACTTTCTAGATCCAAGCTAATAGTAATGCTACAGTTCTCATCTTCCTCCCGACATACTTAGCCCTCGATATCAGGTGCTGTGCGTTCATCCATGGCTCAGGTCACCGATCGCCACAGTCTCTGCGTTTCGCATACGCACACTGGTCGAAGCGGTGCCCAGTCTTTTCCCGTTTTGCGAAAATTTATCCATCTGCACTACTGCCAGCTCGCCCACGGGGTCGCGGCCGATCTGGTAATGCTTGGGACATACTGCCACACACCCGGTTATGTATTACTACCCCAGACAAAGCCGCAGCTTCCGCCTAGTTCTCGATGTAAACTGCTAGCAATGATGTTGTATCGCCTTCCTTTTTTGCGATATCGATACTAGGCCAGCCAATCGAGGTGCGCCAAGCGCATGTAGGTCTTACTTCACGGATCCTTCGGGGCCCATTAGGATGGTAGAAGCTCTGGGGTGGCAAGGTTGCGCTGTTTGACTGGGCTGGGCGTGGATATACCTGCGGTAATAATGAGGAGGCATACGTGATGGAAATGAAAATGCACATGCATGTGTGCCTTGGGTGAACTGATGTCTAAGTCTGAAGTGGTTTGAAGAGGAAGCTCCGGGCGGGTAATGGGATATCACCGCATCGGATTGGTTCACCTCGACGTGAACGTGTAGGAATGGTGGTTCGTTTCTTAGAACCTATGATCTGCGTCTCGTGCATGAAGCGGTAAGAATCGGGGTAAAAGAGTATTCTATGTCGACAAATAAGCCAGGTTCTGCTAGTACAAGTACTACACTAATTGCACATGCTCAACGCACACCTATACTCAGCATAGCAAGACCGCTCGCAAGACTACGAACATGGCGCCCCTCGCATCTACCCTCACACGCGTGCTCATCACCGGCTTCGGAGTAACTCTTCCATCCATCTTCATCCCTTCTTCTTCTTCTTCCAGACTGCAGCGCACACTAACACTCACCAGCCCTTCGGCACAACCATCAACAACCCCTCCTGGGGCATCGCCTCCCGCCTTCCCACCACCTTGCCCAACAATATTTCTCTCCTCGTCCACCCGTCCGCCGTCCCGGTAGCCTACCACCCCGTCATCGACCTCGTGCCCGACCTGATCGCCGACCTCCAGCCTGATATATCGCTGCATATCGGGCTCGCCGAGGGGCGCACGTACTTCGCGGTCGAGCAGACGAGTAGGAAGAACGTGTATGGGAATTCGAGGGACGTAGAGGGGCAGCCGTGGACGAATGCGGAGGGAGAGGAATACTGGGCCGGTGAGGAGGAGAGGCTGAGTACCGCGCTTGATTTGAGAAGCGTGGTGGAGGAGTGGCAGGGAAGGACGGAGGGCATTGTGTGGCCTCAGGATAGCAGTGTCATCGAACGGATGGGAAGGAGGCAGGACGAGCGCGTAGAGGTTACACTTGGTGAGGATGTTCTTGATGCGGCCGTGGAGAAGGCGAGTATCTTGAATATCGATGACGATGGCGATGTTAGGTGGAGTGATAACGTGGGGACGTATTTGTGTGCGTTTATTTATTACGCGAGTATGGTTGAAATGAGCAGAGAGACGGTGGGTGGGAGAAGGGATACGGCGTTTATGCATGTGCCGATGTTGAGGTCAGAGGCAGAGTTGCAGATGGGTGTCAATATTACGGTTGAGCTTGTGCAGTCATTGGTGGACACGTGGAGGGCGCAGAGAGCGGCGGAGTCAGATTGAGAATGTGAGTCCTGCCTTGTGTGGTCGGTGCCGCACTCATTTCCTCAAGCTCTCCTTGAGGAAATAGAGTCCTGGCAGTGGATTTAGCGTTTCTGCATCACAGGAACGGTCAGAGATATCAGCATTATCTTGCAGTCATTCAGTTTGTTAGTTTCCTTGCGCTGGAACGATGTACGCCATATTGAGCGCTGTCCCGCGTTGGTGCAACCCTCGACCGAGCGATGATGCCATGAGTCGCTGCGCAACATAGTACACAGACCACCATGAGGCTCTGCTTTGATGGATCGTTCAAAATCTGCATCTGATGATACAGAAACTGTTGCTGACGTTGGGCACAGCAAGCCGTCCCACGCCACCCCATTGTTTTCCACGGCAACGGGGTCTCCACACGTCGTTCTCCCAGCATGCGTCACCTACGTGGTCACCAGTTAGGCTCTTATGAATCCGCCAAATCGGGTCGCTTTGTTTGTTGAAAGATGTTTCACCATGGCGTTTTTCGATTTGCATCACACTCAGGTTTTTAGTAGTGTTTCCAACTATAGTGTCCGAGTCCTTGAAATGGCTCAGGGCTCTGACTCTGGCCATAGTATAAAGGTACTCAAGCTCTGTGTATTCGCTTCATCAAAACACCAATCTAACCTAACTGCCTACCTACTTATCAACGTGACTGGAAAACACCTGCAATTACCTAGATTTTACTGATTTTACTTACACGAATAATTATGGAACATATTTTTCCTGTTGAGACTACAAATGAGCTCGGCAGGAGAACGGGGGTCTTCGAACTCCAGGAGCAGGCATCTGGAGAGCAGCCTCGGTTTCAATACGTCGCGCACACAACAACAAAGAAGTTTCAATCTAGCGATACAGATACTAAAGAATACGTTGTCCCGGTTTCTGATGAAGACGATGAATTGTCACAGTTTGGAGATAAGAATGAGTCAGCATTTGTCAACCAGCTGCCTATGGAATCACAAAAAGTCGACCTCAGTTCCTTGAAAACAGGCAGTGCTAAATGGCGCCACTACAGCCCTAAGACGAAATTTGTGGATACTTCCATGACCGGAGAGAATAAGACTATCTACTGCATCGGAATTCCTGACCGAGCCCGCAATTCAAACGCTATCGTCTATCCAGCAGAGAAACAGTACCTGAGAGGCATAGACTGGGCCCTGACGTTTAACTCCGACATCGTCAACGCCTGTCTTAAAGCGAAATGGAAGGTAGCACATGCAAGATACGAGCGTACACCTAAAGCCATAGGTTCTATCCGAAATTACTACGGATTACCGGACGGTCCTGCCCCAGGACCAGCCTATGCGCTTGGGGGATATTGGATCGATCAGGAAGGTATTGATTCTAGTGAGCTCTGTAAGAATCCTCGATACTCTTGCAGGTCCTTTAAAAAAAAAACTAATTGCTAGTAGTGGTCCGTTGGCTGATTCTGCAAGAAGTCTGGACATCCTTACCTCAAAGCATCCAAACCTTTGTCAAAGATTTTGCTCAATGGGGCACTCTGAAAGAAACTTCGTACCCGGCAGCAAAGAACGATACGAGCCCTGAACAGCAGCCGACTAAAAGGGTGAAATATTCCATCGGGGGAGTAGAGCTCCTACAAGAGGGTGATTCAGAGGACGATCAGCAGTCCTGAGCCAGAACCTCTGCATTTTGGGGTCTCAACACCTACTCAGTCCGCAGACAAGCTGCCGGGTCATCTCCAGAAAATGCTTCACTGACCAGTTTTGATTACCCTGTTCTTTTCGTATTTCTGTTGGACAGTAGAAGTCACGTGGCCCACTGGCGTCTTGGTAGGTGGATATAAAACCGACCTGCCCACTGTGTATTTTGAAGATCAGCCTGAATACATACGTTTGTTGGTCAGTGCCTTTGCTCTAGCTCTCAATTTCACCTTCTTGATGTGTTGGTTTGTTCTTTGTTGTAACTCATACTAATTTCGAGCAATTGTCAATACGAGCATACCACAATTTTATAAAGTTTTGTTTAGCACTTTTCTGCAACCTGAGATTCTTTAATAACTTGCAGAGACACAAACTTTTACATCATGAGGTTATCCATTGTTTCTCTGAAGGTTCGGATGTTGGGTGAAGACTACCAGCCACTGGCACTACGCGTTCCGTCTTCCACGTGGATCTGCACCTTCACTATCCCTCTCTCTCCCTGTCCCTGCTCTCTCCACGCCTCGGTCTAGTTTCCATCTCACGCCACATTGTACCTCCATGCGCGTCTCTCCTCCTGTGTGTACCCATCCCATCTCTCCGATGCTTGCACATTGCCTTTGTCCCTGCCACCTCGATTGGTCGTACATCCCGTACTCGGCCAAGGAACCCAAACTACGTTTGATCTTGATTCCTGCTACACGTATTTTTTGTATCACTCGACATTTGCGTTGGGATCCTTCTTCGGGAAGATCTTGCTGCTAAGGTCGAGAACAGGCAGCGGGCACGGGATGCCAACAGCTTCGCAAGCGGTCAGGATAGCCAGGTACCAGCCGCACACCAGCCCAATAAATCCAAATCCTCCAGCAAAGTGCAGAAGCCTGTTGATGTGCTCCACATCAACTTCGGTCGCAGCGTGTGCGATGCGGAAGTCCGCGGCGGCGATGAAAGAGAAGAGCATGACGAGGCCAAAGAACGTGAGCGTAAAGAATACGTTGACGCGGAAAGTTCCAATGAAGAAGACGAAACTCGCGATCGCCCTGTTCGAAAGTCAATCTCGAGTATGCAACTATGACCAAACGCTTGAGAACCTACATCGTTATGTTGTGGAATCCTTGAGAGGAGTTGTATGCTGCACCGGTGGCACCGCCAAGTTCGCTAAATGCGGAAGTCGTCTGGTGAATGGGATCTTGAGTGTATGCAAGACTGCCCCAGTGGCTGCCGTAGATAATAAAGACCGCCATAGGAAAAGCTAGGCTATGCATCAATCTCATGATTTCGGTTATCTAGTTGCTAGAGGGTACTCACTGTTTCCAAGTATAAACTCTGCGAGACCAGCAAGGTTCATCGCAATGCATCCAAAGAAGTAATAATCACCGCTCAACCCAACCAGAGTCTGAGGCGCGACGGCACCCTGAAAGCCGCAGAGGGTGAGGATAGTAGATGTGTATGGTATCAAGAAACCAACCAGACCAAGCAGTGTTGGATTGGCTGAAAATTGATCAGCATGGGTTCCAATTGTATACATTCGCGCGCAACTTACCGAATCTTTTGGCCAGGTCACCACGTCGGGGAGCCGACGGCTGAAAGAACAGACGTTCGTACTGCTCAGGGCTCAATTGAACGGTAACCTGGCGGCTAAGTTCGACACCATTGCCAACAATGCTGTGTCCGTTGTGCTCCTTCATCTCATGGTCGATTTTGTGAGAGTCAGACATGGTGTGGGATGTGACAGAAGGGAAAGTGGTGACGGGACAAAAGGCAATTTGTGGATTAAGCGAAGATCAGGCACCGCCTCCAGAACAGACGGGACTGCCTGGTCTTATTACTGTGTCCAAGGGCAGCCGCATATGGTGCAGCCTGGGTCCCCGGGTCATGTTGTCGTCATCTCCCCAGACAGCCGAGGCATCGAAGGGTCGAGCCCCTGGGGATTTCCCCAGTCCCCCACGATCTCCGCAAACCAGCTCCATATATATGCAGAGGAGTTAGGGGATGGCGGGCCACGCTGGTGATTTGCGACATGATAATTGGCGGATGCCATCTTGACCGCCAAGTTAAGCTTCGTTAAGCCTCGGTGTGGCGTCGCGAAGCATCCGCTCCGCGGCCCGGGACGCACCAAAATGATCGGATGAGGAAGGTGATGTCTACGAAGCTAATGGAGCGATGTTGGCGTGCGTCCACCGGGTCTTGTAGGGTGGCTATGCGAAAACTGTCGTTTTTCTCTGCGTGTGATGTGAGAACGAGAATGAAGGAGAGCCGCGCATTCTGGTGCATAAGGGTGCAGTGCATGGAATGACCCACAGACATGGCAATGGGTCCTGAATTGTCATGACGGAGCTTAGGACCGGTGCGCGCCTCGCCCCGTGTCCGCGTGGTTCTGAGCCGCAAGTTTTACGATCCCCGCCCAATCGCGGACACGATAGCCGAGGTAGACAGGCTGCAACTTAACCATCGTCAAACGTTACTTTTTACGTGCAGATGGTACGAAAGTGTGAATGCTTAGTCATGGCCTATAGGCCCAATGGAAGGCGGACATGAAGCTCAAGTGCAAGGTAAAGCCAACTTGTCATGGACGCGACGTTCTCATCTGATGAACTGCATCCTCACTGGCTCTTTTTGACAAAGTTTCCACGATCCAGCTACTAATTATCGCTGGGTGTAATTGAACAGGCCATCCTTGGGTGGCGTTACCTTTGTGTCCTCATGACTTACTCCATCTCGACAGCCTTGTATTGCACGTCCAGGTTCTCGTCTTCACTGTCGCTTGGTACGTCCAGAAGTGTATGCGGTACACTACCTATAGCGTCACTCGATGTATCTTTAGCAGACTTTCCATCTGGCCCACTGTAACCCCAAAATTTCGCAGGTCCAGTCCCAAATCGTTCGAAAAGCCACTTAGGCAGCTTTCCAGTGCCACTCCAAAACGTTAGCATGCATCACCATAGAGGCACGAAATTCACTGACCCGTTCGGAAAACCCTTCCCGGGTAAGTTTTCGCTTGTTCCCGGTTGGAATGGGGACTTTGTTATCGTCCTGCGCGTCCAGCCTTTGATCAAGTTGTTGTGGCCCAGAATGTCTTCGAATAGTGACCCTCCCACGTCATACTCCATTCTCATGACCATTGCGCCATCTTCAGTGTCAAATTTGATGCGAATGGGCATCCAGTCGGGTACTGGACCCCCTGCCATGTCAATAGACGCTGATCGCAAAAATCGCTTGTTCACGTGCGGAATGTTCCACAATTCGTGCACTAGGTTCGATTTGTCGGCCACGAACTGTTCCATTCTCTTAGCGCGAGACAGTTGTTCATCGAAGTAGGCGGTAACTGAAGGGAAGGGGTCAGGGTAAGGAGGTGGACTGCGGTTACTAGCGCTGATTCGCTGGATGATGCGACACCAGGCCCCAACAGAGACCTGGAATGTTGTATAGATGCGCAAAGGCACAAGAGGAAGAGAAGGGCAAATCGTGAACGCCCAATGAATGCACCGCGCTAACTCTGTTGCGGCATCGGCATCGATCTTCTCCACAACAGACAGAGGCGGGAGCCGCGAGCTGGCACACTCTGCAGGGTACTTCTGGTATAAGGTTTGTATGATCCCGCTGAGAACTACCTGGAGCTTCCAGAAGCGGCTGACGACGGTGGAGTTCTCTATGGAATCGAAGTAATAGGAATCGGGGATTATATCGGCGATTTCGGGAGAAGGTGGTACATCAACGATGGTGATGCACGACTGAATGACTTCTTGCATTACTTCGTCTGGAATGAGTTCCCACAAAGTTTCAGCTAGAGCCACAGCCGCAGCAAGCGTGAGAGAGTCTTCCGGGTAGTTGGACGCATGTCGAACGAGGCAGATGAGGCGGGGCACTTGTATGTAAACGTGCATGAGCGCAATAGATGCGCGAAAGGTTGCCGGTGAGTCCTTTGGTATCACTGCAGGACTGGTCATCTCAAGGTATGCATCATTGTCATAGACCGAGGTCCGGCTTGCAACCATAGCTTCTGAAACCTATGACAATCTTTTCAGTGGGATTGTGAGAATGGACAGGCAGCCACTTACATCATCAAAGTATGCGTTATCTAGGAAGCTCCAGAAGTGGTGATCATCGGCATCAGTTAAAGGCCCGTCCTGCAAGATGTCTGAGAGGCCTGCAGCATGGATTGCATGATATAGGTTCTTGATACCCATGAACACCTGTGGAATATTAGTTTCTTAGTCCTCTCAGAGATACTGATCACATACCTCTGCCATGAAGTGAAGTTTTGTAGCGACGGCAGTATCATATGATCTTCTTGTCTTCTCATCCCTGACAGCCAACTGCAATTCCTTGATTGCCCTTGCTTTGGTGGCTAATGCTGTGCGGTGAGCTGAATGATCTGGATTGCAATACACATTGAAGCTCTCAATGAGATATTCAACAGCAAGGTCAACCGCTGTGGTTTTGCCAATTCGGGAAGGCAAGGATTCAACCCAAGAACCCAATATCGCGAAAGGCTGCATTTCTGGTGGTCGTGAGCCTAAGAGGTTGACGTAACGGGCGGCAAGTGCGGTCTGTGAGGGCAGAAATTGGCGTGGCGTGCCACGAATTGTGGCGTCCAATTCGTTCAGATGAATCTGTAGCTTTCTTCTCTGCTGCGATGTTGTCTTCTTGGTTACTTTCGCTCTGTCACGCGGTAAAACGGACAGCGTTACGAAGACACCCTGACCTGTGTCTGCATATCGACTTGTACTTTGGCGAAGAACTAATGAGGTGGATGGCGGCAAACGTGATAACGGGGAAGAAGTAATTCCAGGCTCTTGTGCACCTTCAAGTGGGTAGATGACGGGAGCAACCTTGGGTCTTCCGTGTTTAGAAAGCTGGGTAGGATCTTCAAGCACGAATGCAGATGCTTTCCCGAATGAATAAGTACAGTCGCGGTCGCGTTTGCGACAGGCACCACACTTAGGCCTCTGCTCGTCGCACTATGTTATGTTAGCCTTATTACCAAGGATTGTCCAACGATTTACCTTGACTTTTCGCGACCTACATGTGTCGCATTTCCCCGTTATTGTCATTTGGACTCTCTACGCGAACAGAGCGGTCTATACCGTATGCTGATAAAGCTCCGATCCCGTGGAACAGCAACCAATCAGACGTTGACATCAGAAGAGCCGCATTGAGGCTGCGCACATCGCTAGGCACTTTATGTAGGGTCGCTGTACAGCTATACTGGAAATTGACGGAGGTCGTGGGGCAAATACGTCCTGAACGCGGTTCAATCGTGAGGTATCGTAGAACGGTGGCTGCCTCCACGTTTCGCACGGAGTGGGCCCCGTTCGATCAGCACTAGTCCTAATGGGAGTACGTAGGCACGTGACTTATCCCAGCCGTAGGCCGCCCCCTTCGGAAGCCGTCTGTAGGACAACCGGCCTGGCGAAGCTCAACGACATATCTCAGGTTTCCAGGTGCATTTCTATGTGGGCCGCTTGTCATGCTGGATAGAAACGTCGAATTCACTAAGCACCTGAGCATTTGCCATACCTGGTATGTATCGAGCTGTCTTCCATCTAGATCAACCGCCCGAATTGTTGCGGCAGTCGATGGGTAGCTGTTGGGGAAACATGCACCGTTAAATTCTACTTCCGTATAATCTTTCCAGCTCATGCGATCAATTTCGTCAGTACTTCCACATAGAGTGTCACAGATGATATGTGAACGTATGGTCGGTATCATGCAATGCACGCGTAGAACATCACACAACCTCCCCGGAAACAATCTCCACTGGTTGCACGAGAGATCGTGTCTGCTGCAGGTCATTGGTAGACAGCTTTGATACACGGGCATGCTCTGTTTCCCGAGGATCACTATCCTTGGCGCGGCACCATACTATAGGTATGATTGAACGTAGACTTGTATGCCATGGGTGCCTTAGACAGCTCCCATCTTGGTATCTGGATCCATCAGCCTAAAGAGGAGGTTGAATACACTGAGATTCTGTGACGGTATGTCTTGTGAAAGCTTGACCCGTGCCGTGTAGCCGCTTTTCCTCGGCAGGCCCACCGTCCAGCTCTTATTTTAACTTCAAGGCTCCCTAATATGTTTTCAGCTCTTCCAGCAAACGACCATGGCCATCAAAGCAGTCTTGCGCGCCACGACTCGATGTTTGGTTGTTTTCTTTTTGATGTTTGGACAGCACGGTTGAAGGCTAGGCTCTTTACGGCCGAGCAGCGAGCGCTATTCCGTGTCGTCGGCCACTGCCTATGTTTCGAGAACAGCATTTCAACCACTTGTCACCCTCAGCTCACGTTGTCACAGGAGCACAAAAATTCCACCAAACTACTTTTTTTCAACCACGAAAATGCTCGTCAGCAGTTTATTTGGTCCTTCATCCGCCAGTCGGGAATCTCGAACGCTGGACACAAGAACGCCAATGCCACTAGGCGATTGGCTGCTCATCATGGCTGCCTCATTCGGCCTAGCTCCGCATTCTTTATCTTCGCCCTGATAGGGATGCTTGGGAATGATCGTCTATCATTCGAGGGGTGTTGCCGGCGCGCGTTTTTGGTGCGACTAGCATCTGCGCGGCACAGTTGTACCCATGGCCGGTAGCTATCCGAAGCTTGGGAACCTGCCTGAACGCATGTCGAACGAGAGAAACGAAGTGAGAGCGTTGGGTACCTCAAGTCACCTAGACTAATGGCTTCGAATGTTACGCATGCGCCAGACTTACACGCTGTCAACGTGCGACAGACGTGCGTAGATGGCCCCATTGATCCTTCATCCATCATGCACAGACACACACCACTTGGCCATCGATAATGGCAAACATGCGTCAGTGCTTACGGACCAACTCGCCACGCAATCGGTTTATCTCTGCTTTTCGGCAGTGCCGACTCCCCATCCTTGAGGGCCACGAACATTCCCATCTGCTGGTTGTTGGCCCGCCCTCCGGATGTGGTTAGTTGTGCGCAGACTGAAGCACTCTAGGCGCGGCTTAGCAGTTCCCTGCATGCGACCACTCGCTTCAAATTAATATATCCACCTTCCAAAGATCGCCATCACAGTGTCTTGATTGGCGGCTCCCACGCCAATGGGATAGTTATCGGGTTGCGAGGGTCAGCGAAACGGCTGAGGCCGTGATAGCAGGGGTGCAGGTGAGTTGCCTGCGCAGGCCGTGCGCGTGTTGTATCACCAAATCTCGCCGGCGGTTGCTCGGCTGCATAATGCAGTATAAAGACAGACGCTCCTCCATCCTGGCATAGACCCTTTTTCTCACCTTTTTGCAAGTAGCAATAATGGCTATCGAAGAAGCCCCCGTTTATGATGCCGAGAAGGGTCATGCCCCACCGCGCGTCTCCACAAGCTCTGACGAAGGAGTTGTCGTGGGCGAGAATGGCAAGCTTAAACGTGGTCTCCAAGGGCGCCATATGCAAATGATTGCCATCGGTGGTGTCATCGGAGCAGGTCTTTTCGTCGGATCTGGTAGTGCGCTTTCCAAAGGTGGTCCAGCCAGTGTTGTAGGTATCCACATGCTTCAAATGCGAGCGTTCGAGAAGAACACTAACGATGCAATGTAGTTGATATGCTTCATGCTTATCGGTGTCATGATTATGCTTATGATGCAAGCGCTCGCGGAGATGGCTGTATTGTACCCGGTGAACGGAGCGTTTTATCAATACATCGTGCGTTTCGTTGACCCCTCATGGTAAGCTGCATTACGCCCTGCATAAGCCCCGCACTTAAACATGGAACTCATTTTCACCAGGGGTTTTGCGATGGCTTGGGAATACGCAATCCAATGGCTTACCATGCTGCCTTTCGAGATCACCGCCGCGGCTATTACGATCGAGTTCTGGGGACACTACAATATCGCCATCTGGATCGCTGTGTTCTTGACGGTCCTCGCAGTTGTGCAGATCTTCGGAGTTCGCGGATACGGCGAAGTTGAGTTCGCTCTGAGTATCATTAAGATCACGGCTTGCATCGGGTTCATCATCTTTGGCATCATCGTCAACTGCGGAGGTGTGCCGACCGACAACCGTGGATACATTGGCGCCAGGTACTGGCATTCGCCCGAATCGGCATTCCGCAATGGTTTCAAAGGATTCTGCTCCGTCTTCGTGACAGCTTCTTTTGCCTACGGAGGTACTGAGATGACCGGCCTTGCTGCTGCCGAGGCCGCCAACCCAAAACGCGACATCCCACGGGCAACTAGACAAGTCTTCTGGCGAATCTTCTTCTTCTACGTGGTCAACTTATTCGTCCTCGGTCTTATTATCCCGTCAAGTTCGGAGACGCTGCTTTCCGCGTCTGGCGCTAACACCAAGTACTCGCCATTTGTGCTCGCCATTACCATGGCTGGCGTCAAGGGCCTACCTTCAGTCTTCAACGCAGTCATCACGATATCCGTCATCTCTGTCGCAAACTCAGCCACATATGCATCAACTCGTACTATTCAAGCCATGGCTGCCCAAAACATGGCCCCTAAGTTCCTGGCCAAGGTCGATGGCAAGGGCCGACCCATGCCCACAATCATCCTCCAGTTGCTCTTCGGTCTCCTGGCTTTCATCAATGAGGCTTCCACCACCGGTGACAAAGTCTTCACCTGGCTTCTCGCCCTCTCCGGTATTGCCAACTTCTTCATCTATGGTAGTATCTGCCTGGCACACATCCGTTTCAGGCAAGCATGGAAGCTACAAGGCCATAGTCTGGACGAGCTTCCGTACAAAGCTTCCTTTGGTGTCATGGGTAGCTACGTCTGCGTTGCCCTGAACTTTATCTGTCTCATGGCCTCGTTTTACTCTAGCCTCTTCGTGAGTTGATATCCTTATCTATTTCGTCGCGATCTTTACTGACATTTATCTAGCCCCTCGGCGGTGAACCCGACGCAGAGGTCTTCTTCGAAGGATACATCGCCCTTCCGCTCATTATCCTGTTATACGTCATGTGGAAGGGCTGGTCGTGGTCCAGATATCCCTCGCACCGCAAGCTTTGGGTACCCATCTCGGAGATCAACGTACTGGAGGGTCTGCGCGAGGAGCAGCTGCTCATATCTGGCGCAGATGTATCGGCAGAGGCAAGGAGGGCAAGTATCTCGGAGTCGCAGCAGGCGAAGAAGAAGGGTCCTCTTGGATATGCCAGGCATGCAATCTCGGGTCTTTTCTAGTATGGAAGTAAATGAGATTAGGAGAGTCTCAGATGCATTTCTGGTCGCCATGCGGACGGCACGGGTCTAGTGGAGCCTGTACATAACTGAGCGAGAAATAAGGCCAAGACGCTCGTTTCTATCAACACCAGCTATGTTTTCTTCCACCTCGCGTGTCCTTGATGCCAAAAGGTTCCCATTATCCAGCCCAGCTCACACCGTCTGTACGTGTCTTAAATGATTCGCAAAGAACGGACTGCATCCGAGTCAATTATGTACCAAGGGCGCTCCTTTGGACTTCCCATGCAGGCATTCACGTCTTCATTGCCTGGCCTTGCTGAGCTTGGTGAGGAGCAGTGGACTGACATTCCAGGAGATATCCTCACTATCCCTCACTTCATGCAGAGTGTGCGTACCGTTGAATATTTAAATATTTTCGTTCTTTTCACCACATTTCGTAGCACAGCGGCGGAAGCGTCAAAGTCACGTGGTGATATGTGTATAGGTGTCCGGCGTAAAGAGCACGAATTTGTCGAACTTGCAGTGTATGCGATCGAAAGGTCGCAGTGGGGACTAGGAAACTCCCTCTAGAGATCTCGGTTCCCGATGATCGTGTGTCAGCGGCGTTGATCTCGAGAGGTTAGCTGGCATGAGTAAAATTTGTGTTGATTGGCGTATCGGACTCACCTACGAAAGACTCGCCGAAAAGCTGTTGACTGCAACTGTGGCGGTACCGAAGAGGATGTAACACGAGGCACGTGGTATGAGCAGAGTACCGCATTTCCTCCGCAGAGGTCGTGTGATAAACTATCTTCGTGAGCATGAAGTAAACGGCGTCAGGATGCATACTCGCTGAACTGGAAGCAAGTGACACCCCAGTTGAGTGCGTGCCGTCGCCGCAAACTCACCTGTAATTCATCCGCCTAACAGAGTTTCCAACCTTCCCTATAGCTCCCTCTTCTTGTGCTTTCAAGTGCATGTTTTACTGGGACACTGTGATTCCTCAGGATAACTCATGGGTCATCCGGTGACGTCGTGGTTTTGGTGAGCGTCGGTTGAGCTCAACTGGATGCGGTGCGTCAGCGGGATGAACAAAGTCGTTGTCGCATGGCGCTGAGGTGGGAGAACGGACATTAAGTTTGCCGCCAGGGCATCAAAACAACCTGTACTGGATATCATTAGCGATAAGCGCGGTGGGTGCCGACGTCGATATTCTGGCAAACCTGTCACTGGTGAGGTTGCGCACGTACTGTGAGCGATTGTTCGTGCAATTTGGCTGCTACGATGATTGTGTGGTTCCCGCGCTGGACCTACGAAGATCACCGATTCAGGATCACCGTAACCAGAAGCGCCCACAAAACGACCACGCAGTGGACATGTAAGCGCTGCCGTGCCATGAGAACGCACCCGCATTCGCCAACACCAACGAACGGCCGTTAACAACTAACATGCAGATCTTGTCATCGGAATTATGGACACTGGTAATGGACTAGATGGGTCATACAAGTCCAGTAGCAAGTCGCAGATATTCTGCTAGGTGAGCTCAACGCGAATAGCATATTCTACTACTAGTATATTTCTGAGAAACGACTTGGCATTGGGGACGTTGCTACTCTGTAAGTGGGCCACTGGAGACGCTGCCCATGGTACGCAAAGGCCATCTCACTCAATACGTTGTATAGCCGTCGTTGTTTGGTTGACAACGTCTTCCTCTCCTTCAGTCAAGTCCATGCATACCATGCCAGTACTTCTTATATTGATGCCTTCTTACCTCACCGTGCTGTAGTGCCGGCCGTCAATGCCCTTGGGCGGTCCCACCGTCGCCAGACCCTCCCGCCAACCACAGTACCCCCTCACCTGCGTGCCTTCCCTGTCCTTCACCCCGGAGCCCGCCCAAACCCTCCTCCGACGCAGTCACATGATTCCACTAGTCCCTGGGCAGAATTTTCTATAAAAGCCTGACCTCCCCCTCCCTCCTTCCGCTTCCTCACCTTCCTTGTACCCGTCTAACTGACTGGCGCACAGGTTTCTGGCTGCCTTAGGGCGGCCCAATATCTTGCTAGCCAGGATAATCTTTTTGGTACCCGGCCGTAAGGTGACATCGTACGATGAAGGCAACTGAGTACAACCACCTGTGCAGCGTTCGCGCTCCGGCCCTTCTTCTTCTTTTCATTGAACGCCATGGCTGCTAGCTGTGCTTCAAGGAAGAATTGTGAAATTATTGTTAACTGTCGTGATCTTGGTCGTCTTTGTTGCAGAGGCTGCCTGTTGTGATGCTGGCCGCGTGATGCCTTGAGAAAACCTGTCGCGCGTGACCCTGTCTCAGCAAAAGAGCTTTCACTGTGTATAGGCTACCACGCGGGCGACTTAGTGCTTTGTTTTGGATCACTGTCTTGCCTGGGCTTTGATCGCGCTGCTCTACTCATCTGCTGCGCTCAACGACAGCGGCTTCAGCTACAACCCCGCGACACGCCCCGCCTGCACAATTTGCTCTCAAAAACACTGTTGGCTACCCTTACTCTTCTCCAGAGGACCTCAAAGAACCCACCTGAAATAGACACAAATACGCGTAGCTACCGAGCAGCAACCCGCCCAATCGAATCCGCCTCCAACAGCTGCAATGTCCGCCCACTTCGAGCCTACGATATCCGTCCCCTTGGGCACGTACACGATTACATTCATCTGCGCTCACTATAAAGTTCCACAACGTAAGCGTGACGAGATAAAAAAAATAGCCAACATTCACGTTCAGGCGGCAAAGAAAGCGTCAACCACACCGTGAAGCGGGGTCCATCGCCGCAATTGGGCCTCAACTGCTCGTACTGTGGAGGCGTGAACGGAAGTGGGTTTCACACACAATTTAAAGAGTTCAAAATCATTACAATGCAAGAGTGGCTGGATGTCAGGAGACAAGCTGGGGAGAACTGGCGGGAACTGAGCAGACAAGCGGCGGGGATGCGAAAGATGGAGGACGCTTGGGATGACATTTACTGTAACTGTATAGTATCAAGGATTTTTGATATGAGAGGTATTTTGACTACTCGTCCTTGCTTAATCGCGCTTCAGCTTGCGATAGGCGTGCTCGCTGTGGTTTTGTTTTGACATCACGTTAGCGCGCCCACTACGTCCCAACCGCTCAACTCACGGAATTTGTAAAACGAACTCGCGGCTCCTCGTCTTCAAGACGCGAGCCGACAGCCGGACCGGCATCCCCAGCCTGTCCTTCTCGTCATCTCACTGCCTGCCTTTTGCTCTTCACGTCACTCCAACTCACTCTTCAGATCGACACCGCCATGCCGCTTCTCACCACACGCTTGGAAAGCCACTGCCCCCATCAAGCGCTGATTATTGACCCAAATTGCACAGACCAAAGTTTACTTGATCAGCAGTCCTATCTAACTCACTCGATTTTGTGGCAAGCCACCCCTGTCTGTTCCTCGCCCTTCGTACCAGTGCGCCCACTTCGACGCCTGCCTGTCAAAATCAGCCTCGACCGCGCAACCCATCACATTACCTACCTACCTCCAATTTCTGCCCCGAGAGAAGTCGTCCAGACAGGCTACCCGCCATCCGAAAGTGCAAAACGAAGGTCGCCTGTACTTTCCAAACGGCTACGGCCTTAAAAAAAAACAATATATAATCCGGCTATATCCTATAAACACCGTCTCATACGCCCGATGAGTCTTTGGAGTTGGCTAACTTGCGACACCGAGATGGTCAGCTCTCGAACTTTCACCCAATCACGCATACATTCCCTCCGGCCAGTGTAAGAAGAAGTTATAAAGGCGCCGAAGTCACTGAATAGAGCGGCGGGATTGCGAGACTCGATGATTTGACAGAAGTTAGGACTCAGAACAAGAGCGCACAACGGGCTTCGCCGAAGCGCGGCTCCCGTGGGGATGGTATCAGCTCGACCTGTTCGCGTTTTGCTGTGATTGCAGACAAGAGAAAAAGGTATTGGAAATGAGGACTTGAGGGACACCGTACGGCAGGATAACGAGCGACGGGTCTGTGGTCTACTTGGACATGATACTTATTCCTTTGGAGTTCAATGTCGCGCGAAAAGACAGCAGTGATTGAGGCATATCGAGATTGTGATTGAACTGGCAAGCGGTATAATAGGACAAGGCAGATGCGAGATGGGCTTCATCGTAGTCGATAGAATTAGCCACAAGTTTCGATCGGAGTACACAAAGGCTTTCAAACTTGGTGTCCAACACATGTGTTATAGTTCAGGGTCCGACGCAAAAAGTCATTGAGATGGTGATTCCAACGTCTGGTTGTTGAAAAGGATTATGTTAGTTGTTTTCCAAAGAAGCAAGATCGGAGCATCCGCGGAAGGCCAAGGCAGTCCAAGAAGCAGGATAGTTTTCTACTTGTCTGGCGCTACCACACAACCAGCATATCCACGCTTCACTGTCTTCAGCAATCCGTTCAAACTTTTGGCTTGTCTTCCCGAATCCCCTTCACGCATCCTCCTCCCGCACCCCCTTCTTCTTCTGAAATGTTACCGTCAACCAGATATCCTTCCACGGCCCCAACGGTGCTTCGATACTCGCCTCATACGCATCGATCTTCGGCCTTTCCCACACCAAGTCCGCCTCTTCAGGCTTCACAAACGGTGTCCGCTTCCAAAGTTTGAACCCAATATACAACACGATATCAATAAAGCACATCGCATAGTAAGTCATGAACGTGCCCACATCAAAAGCGTAGAACGTCGCATACCCATATATCGCGAGCACCACTGAAAACAAGATCACACCTGCGACAGCAACGTACGGCTGGCCCCAACCCTTGTACGGAAGGGAATTACGGTCGTATCCTTGGACTTTGAGGGCGCGGTAGAAGCATAGGTAGATGGTGCACATGATGATGTAGTTCATGAGCTGGGCGGCTTGTGTGACGTTGGCGAGCCATTTTACGCCCTGAGAGGCGGCGCGGCCGACGGAGAGGAAGCCGAGGAGCGGGAATACCATAGTGACGCAGAAGCAGTAGATGGGTACGCCAGCACGGGTGGTCTTTTGGAGGAAGCGCGGGGCGTGGCCGTCGAGGGAGAGGGAATAGAGGGTACGGGTCGCACAATAGACGTAGGAGTTGCCTAGAAGGAGTCAGCCGTTAAAAACCTTGTAATTTCTGTGTGCAGAGCCCGAGACAGCGCAAGGTGCTGAAGCTTTCCACCGCTTCTGGAGATCGATTTACGCACCAGCTGAGAAGATGGAAGTTACCATTAACGCATTTGTGAGATCAGGTAGAACCGAAATGCCCAGATTCTTCATCGCAATAACGTACGGGCTACTCGCGCCAGTTCCCGTATCGCCAGCATTGAGTAGAGACGTGAGCGTAGGATCATTCGAGGGCAGGATGATGCCAACGCAAAGTGCTCCCATGATGAAAAAGAGCCCAAATCGAAAGTACATCGTCTTGAAAGCGGTTTTGATTGTTTTGCGAGGGTAAATTGCTTCCCCTGCAACCATCGCGACGTATTCGGGGCCGACGCACGTGAAGCTGGCCTGGAAGAATGCGCCAAGGAAGCCTTCGAAACGACCGAGCGTGCCTGTGTGTATGTATTCCGCGAAAGATCCGGGATTTTTCCAATAGCGGAAGCCGTATGCATCGTGCTTGGGGTTGCCACCAACCTGGATCATTAGTTATACTGCTTTCCGACGGATCGGATCTTTTACATACCATTGTTACGAATGTGAAGCAAAACAACATGAAGATGAGCAGCACCTTGCCGGATGCGCTGTTCCGAGTCAGTGTCAGGGACAGTTCGAGCAAGCAAAGACGTACAGCCAGAACTCGCTCTCTCCGTATGCGCGAACCGCAAACAGGTTGATAATGCCGTAAAGCACGATGCAGCCGGCGACCACAGCAGCGACCGGGATGTCGTCTCTCCAGAAAGTCAGAACCAAGTTGAGCGCAGATATCTCGAATGGGATCAAGACGGCTTCGTAGAGCTACGCGCGTTAATTAAAGTTCGAGAACGAATCCAGGTTCATACGAAAAAGTTCCAACCAGCCATGAAACCGTAGGCCTCGTCAACCCACTTGCTGCCCATTCTAACCCAGCCTCCAACCACGGGCATGAAGACGGTCATCTCAGCCATGCAGTTGTTGGCGAGGGCAAGAATCGCGCAATATATCGCGAAGGCGATGAACAAGCTACCGGGACCGCCTTCTACGAGGCCCCATGCAATGGAAACGAACAGTGCTGTGCCAATCGAACCTCCAATTGCGATTAATTGGATTTGGCGATTTGAGAGACGACGATGAAGTCCTTCGACGACATCGGTAGTTTGCGCGAAATCGCCATTTGGATCGGCGGTCGTGTAGGTCGGCGCGGTCTTCTCGCTGATGGTTGCGTTCTTGGCCATGTTGTCGTTAGAGCACTTGTCGAAGTGCAAAGGTGTGCTACCCGTGCGCATGGAGAGTAGCGCAGACCGTGTTCTTAAAGCCATGCGAGGGTCCGGAACCTGTTATCTTTGCGGCGTTTTGCACTACCAATCTGCATCGATGCAGTTGAGATCAGGATGCTGATCCGCGCCAGTGGGCCACAACGCGACCAGGACTCGGGGCGGTGCACGAGTGTGATAGGCGCGGCGTGTGCGATGTGCATGCTCTTGCGGTGGAGCCATTCCCTTTCAATGCTAGCCGCTGGCCGGCCGCTCAGTGGCAAGGATAGCGTGCGCGCATCAAGTGCCGCGATCTAGGAGTTGACAAATTGTTACCGGAACGCTGGTGGAGGAAGCTGGAACAGGTCGAAGACTAAACGCCGTTATCGGGCCGTGGTGTTGACGGCGGATCCGGGGTAGTTCAAGAACTGGCGGCGGCTGGGCTCCAAAGCTTGAGGCGTGCGGGGGATCAAACGTGGGGGCTGCAGGGGCACTTCACGCCGGCTGTGACGTAAATCGTTCGTCCATCTCACCCAACCACCCTCGCAATATCGCATTCGCAAGGCGCAATGGCAAAATCTCGATATCATCAGCGTATGACGAGTGTGACGAAGTTGATTTTCCAATCCACCAAGCTACCAACATGCTGTAGCCAGTGCCATTGAACCAGGCACGCACCCGCGAAACCGCGAAACCTCTGCCTCACACAGAATGCACAAAGACATATATAGAGCAATTGCCTCCAGATACCATCTACCTGTCTCTTATGTCGACCGAACATGCTCTCCAGCGATGCTGGCGAAAGGTTTGACGATGCAGCCTCTGGAGGAGAAAGTGTCACGTGACGTAAGTAACAACACTTGAGGCAAACACACATCCTGCCGCCAAAGATACAGTGTTGCTGAAGTCAGCGATCGATTTGCTTTTTTCAAGAGGTGCTAGGCACAAGAGTGGTCTTCTCTTCATTTTCCAATACTCCCAATTACAGCCTCATATGCCTGAGCCCATGTACGGGTTCTCTTTGTCGCTCAAGATTCTTTGAAGTCCTTCCACACAGCACTTGCCCCATGTAAATCTTTCCTAATGTGGCATTTCTCTTTGTTCTAGCAAATGGGCCAGCTTGAGCGCCAACCCAACAAACTACAACAGATCTCGCATATCTTCGCTGTTGCCCGACCTCCATTTCTCACTATCGCACCGCTAACCATGTCTCGCGAATTCTGGAACTTGCGCGAGCAGGAAATAAAGCCTGGAGAATCGTTCTTTTCACGAGCTCTATTGAATGGATTGCATAGTGACAGCAAGTGCAAGCATCTAGTAGGCAGCTGTTAGGACGGATCAGTGCAGTTGAACTGACACCCCGCAGGTCATCCTCTTCTTCGTTCTGCAACTCTACGCTCTCCAAGCTATATCCACTGGGGACTTTAGCATCGCAATCGTGACAGCACTGCCCGCATTCCTTCTCCCGTACACCTGGACCTTCAGCCAGACATACGAGACGATCCTAGGCATCCCTCTCCGCTTCATTCTTCCTTACCAAGGGACTAGCTACACGGAAGTGAAGTACAGTCCGCGACGCGGCAAGGATTTTAATGGCCCGGCCAAGGACATATATTTGGACTGCTTCTATACACTCCCGCTGTATCTGGCTCTCTGGTACTCATACATCGGAACCGTTTTCCCGGAAAGAGTGACGTTCTTTGTATTTGTCGCTGTTTTATTCATTTCGAGACATGAGTACTGGACAAGCCACCACTCATTCAGGTCTTCGAACAGGTCTTGGGGCAAGTTGGTCGCGGGCCTGAAATGGCAGTTCCTGGTTGGAACTTCCACCCTTGCTTTGTGGACTGTTTCAACAAACTACGTACGCAACAAGGTGTCACATAAAAGAGCTCATCCTTCCCAACTCTGGGCTATCGATGAGGGTGCAGCATTAGTTATGACATGTGTAGTGCTCCTCAAGGTCATCAATCCGTTGAAAATATTCAAGAATTACCGGTCTAGGATACATTTTAAACCCTATAGCCTGTACCGGGAGGACAAGGCGACAGACGAGGAGATCGCGACATGGGAGATGCTCGGGTGGGAGAAAGTTCGAGATAGGCAGCTCCGACGCGAATGGCTCGACAGGGAGACGCAAAAGGAGATTGAAGAATATGAGACTGTCGAGTGGCGAAAGGCAGAAGAGGAAAAGCGACAACGCCTAGGCCCAGGGATTACCAACCTTGCGAAGGAATTACGAGTCGAACAGGCAGTGTATGGACAGCAATCGGCTCCTAGGTTTTTGTACCGCGAAGAGTCTCGCGGGCCTCAAGTATTGTATCGAGGTTTCTCATCGGACGAAGATGACAAGGACTACACTCCACAGCGTCCTCCTCGCCGACCTCGACCAGCTGCCCCAACAGTGCCATTACATCAAGGTAAGCCATAATACAACCCCTTTGTTCAACGTGCTAACGCGACACAGCACTCGGCAACAAACGAGCTCAAATCGCAGCAAGGCTGGAATTAACACTCAACATAGACTCTGCCTTTCGCGAGAGGTTCAACAAGCAGGTGAAGGATATTTCAGCTGGTGAAGCGAATCAATGCACGTATACCATCAAGCAACGCCTCATCACAGAATCACTAGCCCGGATTGATCGCCAACGAACCGCAAAACCGCGCCGAGCAACGTTAAGCCTTGCGCCTAGAGTGTCTTACAACGATAGCAAGTCTTCTCCTTCCATCCACAACTCACTACACTGAACTAAACCATCTAACGTATCTCAAGCCGCGTATCACACGCCCCTCACACTGAACACGGCGGAACCCCCCGCAACCCAGAGCTACATCTCCATCATCGAAGACCCCGTCGCCCTCGACGTCGACGCCTCTTCCTCCGATTCCGACGGCGCCGAAACGGATGTCTTCAAGCTCGAGCCCGACTACCCAGACTCCGCCTTCCCTCGGCGTGCCTGGGGTGAAGCCCTCGCTGACACGCGGGGCATGCCGGATTATATTCTGGCCTGCTGGAAGGGTTGGATCTCCGATTTGTTCATGTTCCTGGTACAGGCTTTCGCCGCCGCCATGCTGGTCCGTCATACTCTGATTGTGACGGAGACGTGGCCGCTTGATCCGAATGATGGTGACAATGCAGAGTTGGTGAAGAGTACATGGTGGGCGATTCATGTGGTGATCGGGACGGTGTATGCGTGGTCGCTGCCTTGGATTCATTACTGGGGCAGGGCGGTGCGTGAGGCAATGGAGTTTCTGGTGAACGATTGGTTCTTTACTGTGTTTCTGGTGATCTTCGCAGGGCTTGCTAGGAGCATGTGGGTATGGTACAATAAGGGAGAGATTGGTTTGGCTTTCTGGGTGGTGAGAGGGACGTACAACGGAGTCGCGGCGTTCTTGAACTGGACCTTTACATAGGCTTTTACGCGTGATCTGGACATTGCTTTTCTTATTCATACTCAAACATTCATTTTGAGAGGTTATACATAGATGTGGTCAACACAAACTCTGGTTCTTCCCTGCTCCAGCTACAAGTGTTGGCGCTCGGGTAGTAAACATAACGATACAAGCACATAGCGACCAAGTCGCCGCCCTGACTCAAAACGATGGAGGATGGAGACATGGAACATGTCGATGCGGAAGTTGAAGCTTGACGGTTGCGAGGCCGGCTGTTGAATTGGAACGTCGGAAATCGACATTCAATCCGGCATCCAGGAAGCAGCAGCAGCCTGCGGCTTGATCGTGAAGTCGGGCGCGGCACCGTGCAACCTGAGGGTGCGCTTGCCCTCGAACCAATGCCCAAAAATAAAACTCAACGAATTACTTCTCTTCGAAAACAAACAAAGTCGAACGGCCAGTAGGTCTTCCGCTCAGTGTCGATGTACTGTCGGGCTTTCAACTGACCCTTCCTGGCGTGCCGGATATTGTTCCTGAGTTTCTGCACAAATAACCGTGTTCTCGACAGGGGCAGTCGTCCTTCTTGGTTGGCACATTGACCTCATTGCGGACGAAGTTTATCATAAGCTTGTTGCGGTCGATCTGCAGGCTCCAATGTTGCAAGCTTCATCGTCAAGGTACATATGATGGAAAGGCTCCTGTTTGCTACCCCGAATACGGGGCTGGACCCTGTATTTACATTTTTATCGATAATGTACCGTAAGTTTTCCGAGGATTTGCATCAGCTTGTTCGTCTCGGCTCAGGCGATTGAGAGCTCAAGGCCTGCGAATGGAATGCCATAGATCTTGGGCTGTAGCCACTTTGCCTGTCATAGTAATCGCAGAATATCTCAAGCGTATACTTGGCATACAACCTCCACTTCCATGTCAAATCCTGAGCTGTGCAGGGATCGGCTTTCCTGTCGGCAAGATTGACCGGGAATGCCGAAAGGGTGTTGAGCCATAGGACGGTGCGTCCGCTCATGACATAGACGGCATTCTTCTTGTCGTTCTTCTTGTCGCTCAATATGTCGATAAAATCATCAAATTTGGTAATGACAGTCTCGTTGATAGAACCGTAGTTGGCTAGTGAGCCCTCATGGTTGAGAATGAACCATCGGTTCTTACAACTTTGTTCTGGACACCTGCACCTCCCGAGTCTCCGTTCAAGAAGCCATTGCTACCATCCTTCTTGGCTGCATTCGCCACAAACTTCGACGTACAGTCGAAGAGGAGGATTATGGGCCCAGTTAATTATCGTGGACCCCGACTTGAAAACATACCTGCGCGAACGGAACGATTCCATGACAGAACGGTGCTTGGCGGGCTATGAGAGACAGCGACCAGGATAGAAATCGAGCCGTTGCATAGACGTCGAACGAGCTCGAAACCATGCATCTCTCGCAGGGCCTTCATCGCGTCGCTAGGGTTGACTAATCTAAAGGATTGTCAACGATACAATCGGCATCCAAAAGTGTGCACCTACTAGACACATCCGTATCCCTCAGAGCAATTCAGGCTCCACTACGTTCTTTCATCAAACCCACAGTCGGATTGTCCGTCCAATACTTGGAAACCCTTAAGGATATCTGCGCAGCTGGCGCCACGCCTGGGTGGAATGGCGGCGCGTAGTTGACAGTCATGCCGAGGATGTGAGTGATCGTTCCAGATTGTAATTCTGTACTTCTCCATCATCACCTCCTCCACGTGACTCATCTCCACCCAGATTCCCCTAGCTCTCTGCTTGTTGTAACGCTCGAACAGCTTTCTGAGGGCATAACCGGTATGCAACTTGCTCTTTCAAACTACCTCATGAGCTTCATCGACGTAGAGACGGTGGAGTGGGGCACCATTGGTGGCACTCACAGCTCCGCCTTCACCGGTTGCGCGTTATGCACGGTTCTTCTCTGCCTCTGTAAGTTGAGTGATGATCGGAACGCCCCCTCAACTCCTAGCCGGTTAGCTCGAAGGGTGGCATATCCGGCGGCCCCCCGATCGGGTGGAGTCCGCAGTGACTGAATTCTCGAACGAGCCGCCTCTCTCCGGATGGAACAGTGCTGAGCCGTAGTCCTTGACTGTTTCAAACGCTTTGCACGGTAATCTAGTGGAAGCGAGACGTATCAGCGGAGAGAGGTGTTAGTGAGAGTGGAGCTCGACTTACAGAGGGGCACAGGAGGCAGGCCAGGTCTCCTTGGGGGAAAACTGGACGTGGAACTGAATCATTACTGGTGGCAATGGGGGGAGGCGTATTGCTGTTGTTGATGCAGGTGGAAAAGAATATTTTTAGGCGCGACACGCGAGTAGATTGCACCTTGAAAACTTTATGGGAACGGGAACAGGAAGGAGCTGACACCTTGCTATAACATCATCTACGCACGGACTTTCATGACGCTTAATTATTTGATTGCACCTAACTCATTCACTTAATCTACGCTGCACTCGTGCTATTACCTCCGACGCGATAACTCTCAGGCGGCCCATTGTGCGAGTATTGCACACCACCCAGGTCCATTACAAGCTTCTGAAGCACGACGTTTGCCTCTACCAGCCATAGCTTAAGTGTGTGCTTTCCTGGAGATACTTCGCCCCAGTTCGTCGTGTTCAGCCACGCGTTTTGTGCCACTGCCGTGCCCCAGCCCACGGGGAAGTCGGGCTGCTTCTGGTCAGTGACGTACTGCCTTCGCTGCTGCGGCTTGTCGTCGATCTGTGCGACGTACGCGAGGGGCTTCTTGGGGTTGATGTTGAGGGTCGGGGATAAGATGAGCGTGAGGTTAAGGCCCTTTGCGGAGGTCGTGGGGGTAAAAGTGTAGAAATCGTATTCGAGGGCCGGCGCGCTGGAAGGCGAGAGACCTTCGGCGAGGGGAGACGACAACTTGAGTGCGGAGAGCGTTCGGCCATAGCGCGGGAGCACAGTATAAGACAGGTTGCCGGAGGAAGAAAGACGGGAGTAGTGCTCTGCTTCAATGGCGATCTGGCCAGCGTTCTCGACGAAGCCTCTGAAATTGGAAGGAACTGAAGTCTTGTTCACCATCACATTGACGGTGGGGCGGCTGAACTGCGTGCCATAGTTCTGGGAGCTGCTGATGTTCAAAGCGACCTTTTTGCCGTAGCCGTCCGGGACTTTGCTCCAATCCACGTCAATGTAGACACGGACATCGTCGCCGCCCGGGGATATGCTTCCAGCTGTTTTAGAAAGTTTGATGAAAGGCTCAGTCGTAATGTTCCAGTTGAAGCTGTTTGTACCCATAGAGAAGATGTCGATCCAGCGTTTGGGCGTGAAGGGTGTCACAGCGGGTAGATCGAGCGAGCCGCCACCGTTGGTATGCCAGATGTCGTCTCCGGGGATGGTTGCGTTGCTTCCCTCCACGGCTACACCCATGTCTCCGGATAGTGAGCGCTCAGATGTTTGTACCCAACGTAGGAAGGGTGTGGACTGGCGCATAGGTTGTTGCCTGCATATGTTCTTAGTTTCGATCATGCACGCAGTTGGTCGTGACATTATAGCTTACCAGTATCCCTGGTACCCGAGATGCGTCTGGTCCATCATATGGTTCCACTTGCCATTGAACAGCTTGTGATACTTTTGAGTAAGCTCATGGTCGGTTCCCATCAGGTCGATGGTCTCTTGCATCCAGTCGTTCGCGCTGGTCCGACCTTGACCTGAGTAGATTTGATTCCTGGCGCCCGCGACCTGTACATTGATGAAGTTACCACCAGCAAGCACAGGATGCAGGATCATCTCGTAGAACGCGCCTTTCTCGTTATCCGAAAGATCATCGTACACTTCCTGCGCTTGGTCCCCTACATCTTCCCACTGAGCTTGGAGTTTGTCAGCCTCCTCGTAGCTGATGATGCTGTAGCTTCCTGGCTCAACCCATTCGAATTTTCGCATGTTCGATAGACGGCCATATGTGTCAACGATGCTGGAGATCGTCTTGGCGTGTTTCTCGTCGAAGGTACGCGTGGCCCAATTCTCAATCCATGTCGGAACAGAGGTCTCGTCGTAAGCTTCGATGTCGTAAGCGATGTCGAACCAGTGGCTGATGGGAATCTCGTATGGCTTGATGTCCCCGACGTTCACGACCCAAAGTCTGTCCGCATCGCGAGCATGAGCAAGAGACATCTGTTCATAAGTCTTCTGGAGCTGGATGGTGTTGATCCACTTAGAGTTACGGCTGTCACCGACGTAATCAAAGTGCTGCACCTCCCTTTAGCCAATTTGTTTTTTAAGTCCACGAAACTCGGTACTTACGTAGTAGACTCCAGCTCCACCGGATCGTTTCTTCTCATCACCAACTGGAAGTCTGCGGATGTTTTGCCAGTTATCTTCCGTCCATAGTAAAGTCACCCAGTCAGGCACCTTCATTCCCGCTTCAAAGTAATCTTGCACTTCCTTGTACAAGCACCACATCTGCGGAACTTCGCTCGCGTTGCCCCAGACTTTGTCCATGATCTCTTCTTGTGCCTGAACAACAGCTTCCAAGACTGATGTCTGCGTATCAGCGGACATGGCAGTGTCGTGATATCCTCGCATTCCGACGGTGACAACGTTCTCATATGGTTTCGCGCGCTCGGCACCTTCCGTGAAATACTTGTAGAGAGTGGCATTGTTGGTGGCCCAGGACCAAGACGAGTCGCTGCCTTTGGCTACTTTGGTCCATTCCTGAGTTGCGCGGACCATGGGCTCGGTGTGGGAAGAGCCCATTACAATTCCGTAGGCGTCGGCAAGCGGCTGGTTACGTGGGTCATCGACATTGAACATGGAGCTCCACATTGCGGGCCAGAGGTAGTTCGCTCTGCTTCTCAACAGGAGCTCGAAGACGTGTGAGTAGAATTCGGCACCGAAAGGAGAGCCGTATATGGACTTGGGGTACTTGTTGTTCGCCCATCCGGTGAGTGCAGGAGCTTCGTCATTGATGAAGAAACCGCGGTATTTTACTGAAGGTGTCTTCTGAACTTTAGTAGAGCGAAGGGCATAAACGCTCGAATGGGACTTTGGCGGAACATCGGCGAACCAGTGCCAAGGTGAGACGCCGATTTGTTCCGAGACATCGTAGAGACCGTATATCGTGCCACGCTTGTCGCTTCCTATCTTTTGTTAGAGATCTCCTTTTCGTTGTTTTCAAAATCAAAGAAGCTTACCAGCGATGACCAGTGCCTCAGCAGTTCCGTTCATCGGGTTCTTGATCACAGCACTAGTGTAGGCTTCCCACTCGCCTTTGATCTTGCTGACATCGAGTTTTCCACTCTTGATCAACGCATCAATCAAGCTGGAATTCCCAATCGTGCCGGCAATGATGACGCCCTTCCCTTTAGTGGAGCTCTTACTAACGCTCCAGTCCTTGGAAATACCCGTAACGTTGAAGATGACTGATGCACTTCCTCCGACAGTCTGGTTGCTAGCACCGCTTCCGACTGTCGACAAAGTGCCATTTGTTCCAGTGACGCGTCCAAAGTCGACGGCTACATCGTGTGCCGCGCGCAGCACACCAGGCCAGTCTCCGGCGTCGAGGACAAGGTTCACAGGCGAGCCCTTGGAAGCAAGTGGCAGGTTTCCGTTTCCAGACTTGAACGCGACGGTCGGTTTTCGGTCCTGAGAGAGCGAGGCGGCGCTGGCAAGACAACTCGCGAGCGACAGAACGCCCAACAAAGTGTGCTTGATCATCCCCATTGTGACGTGCAGCTCTTTCTTGGATGCGAATTGGCTTGTCAAAACGCCTCACCGATCTACCAACACGCTGGTCATTCTCCATGTTATATACAGCTGCTCAAGAACTACGCCTATCCCCTTAATATCCTAGCTTCGTATTACAAGGGAAGTTATCCCGTCACCCAGGTTGAATATGCATAGGCCATACCGTGTGGAGGTTGACCGGGGTGCCAAGCACCAAACTGGGTGCGGTCCGATATGACGATCCCGGGTATTTAAAGGATAAATTGATGCGCGGCGTGCTTGGTACTTTTTCTATGCATGGAAGACGTTCAGAACCTTGGCCATGGAAGCAAAGGCGGCAAGGTCAATCTATTCGTGCGAATGACAGCTGTTCACGAAGCATAGCCTTGAAAGTGTTGCATGTCGCTTGCGGCTACGGATGTGTAGAGAGCTTGGTCCGGATGCGGGGGCATTTTTCCGTTGATGCGAGAGTTGGTACCGGTTGTTGCGACGCCACAATGGCCAAGTTCAACGGGAGGAGGCACTACGACTCATGAGATGTCACGAGGATGAGAAGATGGTACTGGCGGGTTAATGGGATCCGAAAGTTGGGGTGGAAGAATGGCTAAAGTCGCGTCCCCATACTGGTCTAAACCGCTTCGGTGATGGTGTACCAAGCTGTCGAATGTGAGCCGATGTTTCTCCATCCTAAGATCGGCACATGGCGTTGAAAAACGCAAGGATAGACTTCAGTATAGGAGCAAGGGGTGAGACAGCCAGGAGGAAGAGTTGCCTACTGCATCATTTCATGAGAACACGAGACTCGTCTGTTGATCCTTCGCTGCTTGACAAGAAAAATTCTTCTGAGTAGCACGTGGAAATGACTCCACAAGCCCAGATGAGGCGCCACGTCTATGCTTGTAAATTTTCGGAGTTGAACCTGGAGAAGTTCACACGAGTGGTGTCGCGCACATGGAAGAAAGGCCGAAGGCCAGAAAGAGGCTAGATCCTGTTCGGCAATCTCGCAGATCGGCTTGGCGATCCAGGAACGCGTCGTGCGTCATAGATCGGAGACAGCAGCGACGCGCTGCGTGAAGGCGCGTGTGCGACGCCGTAGTAATCTGTCAGTTGTCCTTGTTCAATCAGCCTCATCCGCTGGAGCAATCATGCCACCCAAGCGCAAAGCCAGCTCACGCATCCCAGCCAACGCCGCCTCTGCAGCCGCCTACACAGATCGAGCCGGCGATGCGCCCAACAAGCGGTCCAAGCTGTCCAAGCCAATCGCGAAAGCTTTCACTACGGCCACAGATCCCAAGGACGAGATTGATGATGCGATCGTCACCCAAGGCAGAGGCGGAGTCGAACACCAAGATGAAGAGGAGTCCAACTTCGACCACTCGCGCCCAGAAGAAAAGGTTGGCATCGTGGACAGACGATTCTACCCAGCCGAGATGAGCAACGAGCGATGCGCGCTATACAACGCCAACGACATCCCGCGGCCGATGGAGATACTCAACGCGACACTGGCGAGCACGAAGGCGGCGCGAGAGAAGATCGACAAGGGCGAGGCCGGTCACGCAGTCATCCATTGGTTCAAGAGAGATCTGCGCGTTCGAGATAACACTGCGCTTAGCCGAGCAAGTGCAGTGGCGAAAGGGAAGGGTATTGGCCTGATTGGCATATGGCTCATGAGTCCGCAGGATTGGGAAGCTCACTTGGTCTCGCCAGCAAAATGCGACTTCGAGTTGCGGTCGGTGGCACTTCTGCAGAAAGAGTTGGCTGAGCTGGATGTTCCGCTGTACATCGAGACGGTGACATCGCGTAAAGATATTCCGCAACGCCTTCTGAATCTCGCGAAAGAGTGGAAGGTGAAGAACATGTTTTGTAATCTCGAGTACGAACCAGACGAGTTAAGACGCGAAGAGCGACTGGTGCGACTGGGAGCTGAGCAAGGCATCAACTTCGAGCCTTTTCACGATGACTGTGTCGTTCCCCCGGGCAGCCTCAAGACGGGCGCGGGAAAGCAGTTCGCTGTGTACTCACCATGGTACAGAGCCTGGGTTGCTCATCTACATGCGAATCCTCATCTGCTCAACGAGAGGCCGATCCCGGAGAAGAACCCCCCTGGCTTCAGAAATAAGTTTGAGACTCTTTTCGATCACGAAATCCCGCCGGCGCCAGATAGCAAAGCTCTGAACATTGGGCAGAAGGAGCGGTTCTCTCGGCTTTGGCCTGCTGGCGAAGCCGCCGCTCTGGATCGCATCGGCCTTTTCCTGACCGAGAAGGTCGAACGATATACCGCTACCCGCAACTTTCCTGCGCAGAAATCTACCGCGAGTGTGAGCGTACATCATGCAGCAGGAACGCTGGCTGCAAGGACAAGCGTAAGGATGGCAAGGGACGTGAACAGCACAAAGAAACTAGATGGTGGCATTGAGGGAGTGAAAGGCTGGATAGGAGAAGTGGCTTGGCGTGACTTTTATAGGCATGTTCTGGTCAATTGGCCATACGTTTGGTCAGCTATCCTGGGCCAATCTCTGGCAACAATGCTAACTTTATCCAGCATGAACAAGCCCTTCAAATTCGAATACACAAACATCGAATGGGAGTACAATAACGAGCACTTCCGCGCCTGGACAGAAGGCCGCACCGGTAATCCCGCCTTACCCATCCCTCATACTCTCGACATCTAACTCCAAATAGGCTACCCAATTGTCGACGCCGCAATGCGCTGTCTCAACTCCACAGCCTACATGCACAACCGCCTGCGCATGGTCACCGCCTCCTTCCTCGCCAAGCACCTCCTCTTAGACTGGCGCCTCGGCGAGCAGTACTTCATCACGCACCTCATCGACGGCGACTTCGCGTCCAACAACGGCGGCTGGGGCTTCTCCTCCTCCACGGGCGTCGATCCGCAGCCATACTTCCGTGTCTTTAATCCGTGGCTGCAGAGCGAGAAGTTCGACGCTGAGGGCGAGTTTATTCGCGAGTGGGTGCCGGAGCTGAGGGGAATTGAAGGCCAAGGAGTGCACAATCCGTATCAGAAGGGAGGAGAGGCGGAGAGGATTGCGAAGAAGGAGGGATACCCTAAAGTAATCGTGGAGCACAAGTTTGCGAGAAATAGGTGCTTGGAGCGGTACAAGGCTGGGCTGGGGAGGGAAACAGCGTGAAGACTCATGGGATGCCATGTGTGTTGTATCCATCACTTTCCATTCGTTCGATTTCGTAACCACGGTACAGATGCAACTGTTCTAAGATTGAAAGATTCCAAACGCCATGCCCACGCTATGCCAAAACTCTATGCCAACGCACTCGATCCATCACCCAGCCTTTCAGCCCCCAGTATCATGGATGGCTTTCTGCAGCAAGTCTTGCAACCTCTGCCTTTGTCAAATACCTACGCCAGCCCACCCCCCGTAACCCCACTCTGCCCCGGCTCGCCGTTGGGCCCACTCCCACCTGGTGTCTTCCCAGCCTTCCTGCGCATGCTCTTCGATCGGTGCGTATAGTAGTTGTCAGGTTCCTTCATCTGCTCTTTGTCTTGCTGTGAGACGGAGGGCTGCAGCTTGTTGGAGGAACTCGAGCCGGAGCGGGGATCGAGTTTGCTGGCTTTGGAGCCCATAGTGTGTTGTGGAGGAGGATTTGGTGGTAAGATTGGTGTGGAAGACTCCTTGGTGTGTTAGTTGGGTTGACGGTAGACAAGTGCATGCGAGCAGGGCAGGGTAGCTTACAGTGGGCTTTTCGTGGTACTGGAGGGACGGTTGTGGAGATGATCAGGGTGTATGTGTCGCAGCCGAGTGTGTCTGATTGAATGATGTTTGAAATCGTGAAAGAGACCCTCGTGTGCTAGGAAAAAGAAGAAAGCGTTGATTTCGTAACTTGGTAGAAAGAATGAAGATGACGTATGCGCTCGGCTGCGGCTGTGCCTGCGTGAGACCCTGCAGATCCTTGTGCGGAGCCCGAGCCCCCGGCGCACCAGTTCTGTGATTGGCTCGAGCTGAGGAACGAACGGGCGAGATCTTTCCAGCTTTGATCACTTCTATTTTTGTTGGCAATTTTTGTGGCATGCGTAAGTAGGCTATGTATATGTGGGTCACAAAAAGAAATGGATTAGGACTGAGGTGGGTGCATGTGCTCGCATGTGCGCCTCGGACGGCTGTTAAGGTTTCATCGCACTTTTTGTCAATCGTAGACAACTCTCAGCTGACAAAATAATTGAGAGCAAGACCCTTTTCCTACAGTAACAGGTCATCAAAGCCACTCTACGGAATGCAACAATGAGCTGAATGCGCCTCACTCCTTCATGACTATCCGTCAAGGACGAGCAAAGATTGCCCCAAAAAACCGCTCACTCCACGGCTCGATCGAACTGCACAACATAAAGCCGTTCTACGGTTCGTTCAAGTGGTGCATTCGCCTCGTCAATCATTTTACCACATGCAAGCTATATAGCTTAGAAGAATTCCGATCCGGCTCCGCGCAGTATCTCAATTCTCAGCACCATCCTCGAACTCCCCCTGATCATCCGTGCCATCGGGCTTCGACCAGACGAACTTCTCCTCTAACGGTAGCCAATACTCGTACAGTTCGACTTGGTCCGCCGCCCCCGAGCTTCTGATCCATCAGTGGCCAATTCATCATCCAGTGGTACTCGGTCAACGACTCCACAACGTCGCCGAGATCTTCCAACGCAGCCAATCGTCGCCGTGGTCGCGGTGGCCATCTGAGAGAAAGGCCTTTGCGCCACGGATGCGGCTGTATTCCTCAAAGAGGTGATGATCTTCGACAATCTTGGTGATGATCGGGAGGTGCGAGGTGCACTCGGGGTTAGCTTGGTACTGTTCGAAACGCTCGTTCACACCCTCGAGAACAGTGAACAGAAACGCGCCATTCAGTATGGTGTCTTTGTCAGCATCAGTCAAGCGCGGCGTATCTTGCGTCCTGTCGTCGGAATAGCGGACCGGGAGCGGCGAGCTTGATGCAGTATTCTCATCGCTCGTGGACATCGCTCGTGGGTGGAGTGCCGGAATGGGACGAAAGTAGCCGCTTGGTCTTACGAGCGGGGAGGTGGAAGGTATGGTCGAGGATATCGTCAATCAGGGCTTCCTGCTTGTGAACACTATCGTTCTGACGCGGCGTTAGGGAAAGGCCAGTGGAAGCACGTTCTGTTGAGGGTTCGATGTCGTCCTCTGTGCTAGGCTTGGAGACAACGGCTTCTTGGCTGGACATTTCGTACTTTGATGACCTTTTCTGCTTCGAAGGTGTTCTTGTTCGGGTGGTGCGCACGTTCGGATGGTGGCGCTCGTATTGACAGTCGTGGCAGGTGAAAGGTCGGGCGGTGTGTCAATGTGTGAGAGAGAGGTCAGGTTCCAGATGCTGTAGTTTATTAACTGTATTCTTACACGTGAGCACGCGTGCGACGTGTCCGTGCTTAGGGTTCATGCTCCTTTCACTCTCCCTAGGCGTGCATGACGCGCTTCCTCTGGCCCGCGATAACCATGCTGGAACTGATGATTTAGGGATATTTATAGGCTTTGACAATGAATAAATCTCGGATTATATAATATATGTAGGATGATGCACACCTGGGCATGCATCAGGACGCTGTGTAGGATGTGGTCTTTGTACGCTCTGCCCATATGTACAGAGTCCGACTGCTTGCTTTTAATTCGTCCGAAGTTGCAAGTTTGCCTCGATACTACTGCTGAAACAATTGATAGAATTCACGGTGCACTTGAATGCCTATTCTGTGAATAGTCGATGTCACGAATGTAAGGATGGGGAGTATTAACACAGGTAGTCGGTCTGTGTTGAAAGAAGCATAGTTCAAGAGTCTCAAACCTATCGTCTGACATATCACTTACTTTGACCAGTTCAGTGAAAGTTACGAATCATACATAACGTCCTGCACGGGGACACGAGACGCACAGACTCGCGAGACAAATCACGAATACTTCCAACTCTACGGAGGTATCTACCCTATGACTCCCCACACACCGGGCATCTACATCCTTACGGTGTGATAATAGATTTTGCTATATTCTTTACATGCTTCTACGTTGTCAGCCTAAAATTACAGATCTTTCAAATCCCCTTGGATTAATCAGAACTAGTTATACTAAAGCTAACGATACATACCACCAAAGGCACAGGTCCATAGGATAGCTTAATTAGACTTTCAAAGACGCCTATACAATGCTTCGTTTACACTAAACCTCTTAATAGTAATGGCTGGCTTCCGCTGGGCCTGCAGCTACTGTGTCATGCGGAGTTGTACAAGATTGCCACCCCAGTTAGTACCTGAGATCGTAAGCGAGCGATCTTCTGCCCGAGGCACGGCTGCTGACTCCATATTGTATCTTAGGTAATATCGTTGTCAGATTCCTCAGTCTTGGCCGTGGTGCACTGCCCCACCCGGTGCGTCACCAAGCCAAGACTAGAGCGAACGCCAGCAACCATTGACTCGCGGGATCTTAGCGCATCACAACGCCTCGCAATCATGCTACTATCTGAAAATATGCACCTATTCTTTATTGTTCCTATGCGCTAACTGTCTGCTAGTATGGAATGAGTTAGCAAGCAGCAAATGCTCGCACGACGAGGCTACTGGGTTCAGCCTCACGAGTTCTCTTCTCATCAGTTGTGCCTATCACCCACCCAACCGAAGCTATGCGGCTTTTGCAGTACAGCGAAAACGGAGAGCTTAGTATTCATAGCTTCGACGACGGCGCGATACCTCCCTACGCGATACTGTCACACACCTGGGGAGCAGATGGAGACGAGGTGACGTTCGCAGACCTCGAAACGGGCGGTGGCAGGACTAAGCCAGGCTACAAGAAGATTGTTTTCTGTGGAAAACAGGCACGCCATGACGGATTCCAGTACTTCTGGATTGATACGTGCTGCATCAACAAGACTGATAAGGCAGAGCTCGCCTTCGCCATTAGGTCAATGTTCCGCTGGTATCGAAACGCAGCTCGATGTTATGTCTATTTGTCGGATGTCTCTAACCAGCCTATGGCGATTGACCGGGGCCACTCCAATGCGCGATGGTTCATCTGGATCTGGATGCTCCCTGTTCTCTGCTCTTTGTCAGGCTGGTGCAATAGCATGATTTATCGCTTCTTGTACTCACGACATATTTCCTGTCCTTTTGCAGGAGGCGATGTTGTATACAGCCAACAGGAGTCTAAATCTGCGCTTTGGAGTAGTAGATGGTTTACTCGTGGATGGACACTACAGGAGCTTCTTGCACCGTCTACAGTAGATTTTTTCTCCAAAGAAGGAATTAAGCTTGGTGATAAGCTCTCGTTAGCAGGAGATTTACGTAAAGCTACAGGTATCCCTACTTCAGCACTACAAGGCGAACCTTTGTCTAACTTCCGCGTTCATGAACGTATCGAGTGGAGTGAACATCGCACTACGAAGATTCCGGCGGATCGCGCATACTCCCTGATGGGGATTCTCGGCGTTAGCTTGTCCCCGATTGACGGTGAGAGTCCAGCTGAAGCGATGAAACGGGTTATAGATGAGGTCGAAAAGCAGAATAAGTGCGTCCAAGACTTGCGTTCTAGCAATCCGCGTGACGACAAGACGCGCATTGAGCAGACCAAAGGTGGGCTGCTCGCGGATGCCTACCGCTGGGTTCTCGACAACGACACCTTCCAGCAATGGCAGCAAGACTCAGAGAGCCGACTACTGTGGGTGAAGGGTGATCCTGGCAAAGGAAAGACGATGTTGCTCTGTGGCATTATTGACAAGCTGCACAACTCACTGCCCAAGAATGCCCTTCTGGCGTACTTCTTCTGCCAAGCGACCGACTCCCGCATCAACACCGCCACGGCCGTGCTGCGAGGGCTATTGTACATGCTCGTGAGCCAGGAACCGTCGCTTGCATCTCATATCCGTAATGGATACGACCGCGCAGGCAAAGCCTTGTTTGAAGATGCAAATGCCTGGGTCGCCTTAACGGCAATCTTTGCGGATGTGCTACGAGACCCACAGCTAAGAAATACATATCTGATCATTGATGCTCTAGACGAGTGTGTTACTGATCAGTCGAAACTACTCGACTTTGTCGCAAAGCAATCTTCTGCGTCCCATTGCGCCAAGTGGATCGTTGCTAGTCGCAACTGGCCAGACATTGAAGAACAGCTAGAGCTAGCAGAGCGCAAAACGAGGCTGAGCCTTGAGTTGAACGCCGAGTCGGTGGCGGCGGCGGTCAGGGTCTTCATTCAGCAGAAAGTGGATCAGCTGGCGAAAGAGAAGCGCTACAAGCCAGAGACCAAAGACGCCGTGCTCCAGCACTTAATGTCAAACGCGAACGATACCTTCCTCTGGGTAGCGTTAGTGTGCCAAAACCTTCAATGGACGCCGAAGTGGAACGTGCTTCAGAAGCTAGCCCATTTCCCACCTGGGCTAGGCTCTTTATATGAGCGGATGATGGACCAGATTAGCGCGTCTGACAGCGTCAGCATCTTTCTGCGAGTCCTAGCAGTGACTGCGGTTTTGTATCGACCTGTTACAATTACCGAACTAGTCGCACTTATTGAGCAGCTAGAGGATGTCGACGACTTCGAGTCTGTGCAGGAGATTATTGGCCTCTGTGGATCGTTCCTAACTCTGCGAGAAGACACAATCTACTTTGTACATCAATCTGCAAAGGACTTCCTTATCACAAAGGCATTTGACAAGATCTTCCCAGACGGTGTTGAGCAAGTTCATTGGGAAATCTATTTGAAGTCGCTGACAATCCTCTCCAGGACATTACACAGGGATCTATACGGCCTAGAAGCTCCAGGATCTCCTATCAAGAATGTCGAACCGCCTGATCCAGATCCGTTAGCAGCATCACGCTACCCATGCATCTACTGGATCGACCACTTGTGCGACTCCACGTCTTTGGCTAGTAAGGTTAGCAGCCTACAGGGTAGAGGTGTTGTTACCGAGTTTCTAAAGAAAAACTATATATATTGGCTGGAAGGGCTAAGTCTATGCAAAAGCGTAGGAAAAGGTGTAGTGTTGATGGAAAAGTTGCGGTCACTCGTGCAGGTATGGCATGCAGAAAGCGTATACTTATATAGGGAAGGTTGAATGATCTATTCGCTAACATAACTAGGATACGCAAGATCAAGATGAGCTTACTCAGCTTGTTCATGATGCGCGGCGGTTTATCATGTACCACCAAAGAGCGATCGAGAGCTTCCCACTTCAGACATATGCATCTGCGCTGCTATTCAGTCCGACAGCTAGTCGGATCAGACAGCTATTTCAGCACGAAGAGCCAGGCATCACGATTAAGCCAGGAATGAGCGACAGCTGGAGCGCGTGCTTGCAGACACTTGAGGGCCATAGCGGTGGGGTCATCTCAGTGGCCTTCTCTCCCGACTCGACGCAGCTGGCCTCGGCGTCAAGCGACACCACGGTCAAGATCTGGGAGGTGAGCAACGGCGCGTGCCTGCAGACGCTCGAGGGCCATAGTGGTGGGGTC